GCCAATTTTAAACTAAAATCATAGGTTAACCCCTTTGCAAAAATGCAATTTTTCGACTATGTGAAAAATGACAATTTTTGACTAAAAATATGTGCAAAAAAAGGACATTTTTAAAGTCTAAAAACCCTTGTTCACCTTCTAGAAGGTAATCAAGCAATATATGTTAGGCTTTTGAAAAGAAAAACAAACTTTCAAGAAAATGCCAAATCTTGCTCAAAATCATGGGTAAACCCGTTTAAAAAATTGGAAATTTTTTCGATTATCTTAAAATGGCATTTTTGTAGTGTAAAATGCATTTTTTCCCCTCTAACACATAATAAAACAATATATCTTTACAGGGGGTTAGAGGGGGTTAGAGGGGGTTACGAGGGGTTACAAGGGGTTACAGGGGGTTACAAGGGGTTACAGGGGGTTACAGGGGGTTACAAAGGGTTACAAGGGGTTCCAGGGGGTTACAGGGGAAAGAGAAAGCTTGAAATGGATTTGCCAAAAAAAGAACTTAATCAAACCATCTATGTTGTCAATTTTAGAAGAAAAACATAGTTTGTGAAAAATGCTAATTTTTGATCAAAATCATAGGTTAACCCCTTTGCAAAAATGCAAATTTTTCGACCATGTGAAAAGAACATTTTTATAGTCTAAAAAGCGATCTTTTCTATCTAATACATAATCAAACAATCTATTTTGGCGTTTTGATAAGAAAAACATAGATTGACAGAAACACCAATTTTTGACTAAAATCATAGATTAACCCGTTTGGAAAAATGCAATTTTTCGACCATGAGAAAAGAACATTTTTATAGTCTAAAAAGCGATCTCTTCTATCTAATAGATAATCAAACAATCTATTTTGGCGTTTCGATAAGAAAAACATAGATTGACAGAAATGCCAATTTTTGACTCAAATCATAGGTTAACCCCTTTGCAAAAATGCAATTTTTCGACTATGTGAAAAATGAAAATTTTTCTAAATATGTGAAAAGGACATTTTTACAGTCGAAAAACCCTTGTTCACCTTCTAGAAGGTAATCAAGCAATATATGTTAGGTTTTTAAAAAGAAAAACAAACTTTTAAGAAAATGCCAATTCTTGCTCAAAATCATGGGTAAACCCCTTTAAAAAATTGGAAATTTTGTCCATTATCTTAAAAAAGCATTTTTGTAGTCTAAAATGCATTTTTTCCCCTCTAGCACATAATAAAACAATATATCTTTACAGGGGGTTACAAGGGGTTACGAGGGGTTACAGGGGGTTACGAGGGGTTAAAAGGGGTTACAGGGGGTTACAAGGGGTTACAGGAGGTTACAGGGAGTTACAAAAGGTTATAAGGGGTTCCAGGGGGTTACAGGGGAAAGAGAAAGCTTGAAATGGATTTCCCAAAAAAAGAACTTAATCAAACCATTTATGTTGTCAATTTTAGAAGAAAAACATAGTTTGTGAAAAATGCTAATTTTGGATGAAAATCATAGGTTAACCCCTTTGCAAAAATGCAAATTTTTGGACCATGTGAAAAGAACATTTTTATGGTCTAAAAAGCGATCTTTGCTATCTAATACATAATCAAACAGTCTATTTTGGCGTTTTGATAAGAAAAACATAGATTGACAGAAATGCCAATTTTTGACTAAAATCATAGGTTAACCCTTTGAAAAGTCCAATTTTTTTGACCTTGTGAAAAGAACATTTTTATAGTCTAAAAAGCGATCTTTTTTCTATCTAATACATAATCAAACAATCTATTTTGGCGTTTTGATAAGAAAAACATAGATTGACAGAAATGCCAATTTTTGACTAAAATCATATGTTAAGCCCTTTGCAAAAATGCAATTTTTCGACTATGTGAAAAATGAAAATTTTCGTAAATATGTGAAAAGGACATTTTTAAAGTCTAAAAACCCTTGTTCACCTTCTAGAAGGTAATCAAGCAATATATGTTAGGCTTTTGAAAAGAAAAACAAACTTTCAAGAAAATGCCAAATCTTGCTCAAAATCATGGGTAAACCCCTTTAAAAAATTGGAAATTTTTTCGATTATCTTAAAATGGCATTTTTGTAGTCTAAAATGCATTTTTTCCCCTCTAGCACATAATAAAACAATATATCTTTACAGGGGGTTACAAGGGGTTACGAAGGGTTACAGGGGGTTACGAGGGGTTACAAGGGGTTACAGGGGGTTACAAGGGGTTACAGGGGGTTACAGGGGGTTACAAAGGGTTACAAGGGGTTCCAGGGGGTTACAGGGGAAAGAGAAAGCTTGAAATGGATTTGCCAAAAAAAGAACTTAATCAAACCATCTATGTTGTCAATTTTAGAAGAAAAACATAGTCTGTGAAAAATGCTAATTTTTGATCAAAATCATAGGTTAACCCCTTTGCAAAAATGCAAATTTTTCGACCATGTGAAAAGAACATTTTTATAGTCTAAAAAGCGATCTTTTCTATCTAATACATAATCAAACAATCTATTTTGGCGTTTTGATAAGAAAAACATAGATTGACAGAAATGCTAATTTTTGACTAAAATCATAGGTTAACCCCTTTGCAAAAATGCAATTTTTCGACCATGTGAAAAGAACATTTTTATAGTCTAAAAAGCGATCTTTTCTATCTAATACATAATCAAACAATCTATTTTGGCGTTTTGATAAGAAAAACATAGATTGACAGAAATGCCAATTTTTGACTAAAATCATAGGTTAAGCCCTTTGCAAAAATGCAATTTTTCGACCTTGTGAAAAGAACATTTTTATAGTCGAAAAAGCGATCTTTTCTATCTAATACATAATCAAACAATCTATTTTGGCGTTTTGATAAGAAAAACATAGATTGACAGAAATGCCAATTTTTGACTAAAATCATAGGTTAACCCCTTTGGAAAAATGCAATTTCTCGACCATGAAAAAGAACATTTTATAGTCTAAAAAGCGATCTCTTCTATCTAATAGATAATCAAAGAATCTATTTTGGCGTTTTGATAAGAAAAACATAGATTGGCAGAAATGCCAATTTTTGACTAAAATGATAGGTTAAGCCCTTTGCAAAAATGCAATTTTTTCGACCTTGTGAAAAGAGAACTTTTTATAGTCTAAAAAGCGATCTTTTCTATCTAATACATAATCAAACAATCCATTTTGCCGTTTTGATAAGAAAAACATAGATTGACAGAAATGCCAATTTTTGACTAAAATCATAGGTTAACCCCTTTTAAAAAATGCAATTTTTCGACTATGTGAAAAATGTAAAAAATTTTTGTAAATATGTGAAAAGGACATTTTACAGTGTAAAAACCCATGTTCACTTTCTAGAAGGTAATCAACAATATATGTTAGGCTTTTGCTAAGAAAAACAAACTTTTAAGAAAATGCCAATTCTTGCTCAAAATCATGGGTAAACCGGGTTACGAGGGGTTATAAGGGGTTACAGGGGGTTCCAGGGGGGTTACAAAGGGTTACAAGAGGTTCCAGAGGAAAGAGAAAGCTTGAAATGGATTAACCAAAAAGAACTTAATCAAACCATCTATGTTGTCAGTTTTAGAAGAAAAAACATAGTTTGTGAAAAATGCTAATTTTTGATCAAAATCATAGGTTAACCCCTTTGCAAAAATTCAAATTTTTTCGACCATGTGAAAAGAACATTTTTATAGTCTAAAAGGGATCTTTTCTATCTAATACATAATCAAACAATCTATTTTGGCGTTTTAATAAGAAAAACATAGATTGACAGAAATGCCAATTTTGACTAAAATCATAGGTTACCCCTTTGCAAAAATGCAATTTTTCGACTATCTGAAAAATGAAAATTTTTGTAAATATGTGAAAAGGACATTTTTAAAGTCTAAAAACCCTTGTTCACCTTCTAGAAGGTAATCAAGCAATATATGTTAGGCTTTTGAAAAGAAAAACAAACTTTCAAGAAAATGCCAATTCTTGCTCAAAATCATGGGTAAACCCCTTTAAAAAATTGGAAATTTTTTCGATTATCTTAAAATGGCATTTTTGTAGTGTAAAATGCATTTTTTCCCCTCTAGCACATAATAAAACAATATATCTTTACAGGGGGTTACAAGGGGTTACGAGGGGTTACAGGGGGTTACGAGGGGTTACAAGGGGTTACAGGGGGTTACAAGGGGTTACAGGGGGTTACAGGGGGTTACAAAGGGTTACAAGGGGTTCCAGGGGGTTACAGGGGAAAGAGAAAGCTTGAAATGGATTTGCCAAAAAAAGAACTTAATCAAACCATCTATGTTGTCAATTTTAGAAGAAAAACATAGTTTGTGAAAAATGCTAATTTTTGATCAAAATCATAGGTTAACCCCTTTGCAAAAATGCAAATTTTTCGACCATGTGAAAAGAACATTTTTATAGTCTAAAAAGCGATCTATTCTATCTAAAACATAATCAAACAATCTATTTTGGCGTTTTGATAAGAAAAACATAGATTGACAGAAATGCCAATTTTTGACTAAAATCATAGGTTAACCCCTTTGGAAAAATGCAATTTTTCGACCATGTGGAAAGAACATTTTTATAGTCTAAATAGCGATCTCTTCTATCTAATAGATAATCAAACAATCTATTTTGGAATTTTGATAAGAAAAACATAGATTAACAGAAATGCCAATTTTTGACTAAAATCATAGGTTAACCCCTTTGGAGAAATGCAATTTTTCGACCTTGTGAAAAGAAGATTTTTATAGTCTAAAAAGCGATCTTTTCTATTTAATACATAATCTAACAATCTATTTTGGCGTTTTGATAAGAAAACCATAGATTGACAGAAATGCCAATTTTTGACCAAAATCATAGGTTAACCCCTTTGCAAAAATGCAATTTTTAGACTATGTGAAAAATGACAATTTTTGTAAATATGTGAAAAGGACATTTTTACAGTCTTAAAACCCTTGTTCACCTTCTAGAAGGTAATCAAGCAATATATGTTAGGCTTTTGAAAAGAAAAACAAACTTTCAAGAAAATGCCAATTCTTGCTCAAAATCACGGGTAAACCCCTTTAAAAAATTGGAAATTTTTTCGATTATCTTAAAATGGCCTTTTTTTTAGTCTAATATGCATTTTTTCCCCTCTAGCACATAAAAAAACAATATATCTTTACGGGGTTACAAGGGGTTACGAGGGGTTACAGGGGGCTACGAGGGGTTACAAGGGGTTACAGGGGGTTACAAGGGGTTACAGGGGGTTAAAGGGGTTTACAAAAGGTTACAAGGGGTTCCAGGGGGTTACAGGGGAAAGAGAAAGCTTGAAATGGATTTGCCAAAAAAAGAACTTAATTAAACCATCTATGTTGTCAATTTTAGAAGAAAAACATAGTTTGTGAAAAATGCTAATTTTTGATCAAAATCATAGGTTAACCACTTTGCAAAAATGCAAATTTTTCGACCATGTGAAAAGAACATTTTTATAGTCTAAAAAGCGATCTTTTCTATCTAATACATAATCAAACAATCTATTTTGGCGTTTTGATAAGAAAAACATAGATTGACAGAAATGCCAATTTTTGACTAAAATCATAGGTTAACCCCTTTGCAAAAATGCAATTTTTCGACTATGTAAAAAATAAAATTTTTGTAAATATGTGAAAAGGACATTTTTACAGTCTAAAAACCCTTGTTCACCTTCTAGAAGGTAATCAAGCAATATATGTTAGGCTTTTGAAAAGAAAAACAAACTTTCAAGAAAATGCCAATTCTTGCTCAAAATCATAGGCAAACCCCTTTAAAAAATTGGAAATTTTTTCGATTATCTTAAAATGGCATTTTTGTAGTCTAAAATGCATTTTTTCGCCTCTAGCACATAATAAAACAATATATCTTTACAGGGGGGTACAAGTGGTTACAGGGGGTTACGAGGGGTTACAAGGGGTTACAGGGGGTTACAGGGGGCTACAGGGGGTTACAGGGGTTACAAGGGTTACAAGGGGTTCCGGGGGGTTACAGGGGAAAGAGAAAGCTTGAAATGGATTTGCCAAAAAAAGAACTTACTCAAACCATCTATGTTGTCAATTTTAGAAGAAAAACATAGTTTATGAAAAATGCTAAATTTTTGATCAAAATCATCGGTTAACCCCTTTGCAAAAATGCAAATTTTTCGACCATGTGAAAAGAACATTTTTATAGTCTAAAAAGCGATCTTTTCTATCTAATACATAATCAAACAATCTATTTTGTCGTTTTGATAAGAAAAACATAGATTGACAGAAATGCCATTTTTGATCAAAATCATAGGTTAACCCCTTTGCATAAATGCAAATTTTTCGACCATGTGAAAAGAACATTTTTATGGTCTAAAAGGCGATCTTTTCTATCTAATACATAATCAAACAATCTATTTTGGCGTTTTGATAAGAAAAACATAGATTGACAGAAATGCCAATTTTTGACTAAAATCATAGGTTAACCCCTTTGCAAAAATGAAATTTATCGACTATGTGAAAAATGACAATTTTTGTAAATATGTGAAAAGGACATTTTTACAGTATAAAAACTCTTGTTCACCTTCTAGAAGGTAATCAAGCAATATATATTAGGCTTTTGAAAAGAAAAACAAACTTTCAAGAAAATGCCAATTCTTGCTGAAAATCATGGGTAAACCTCTTTAAAAAATTGGAAATTTTTTCGATTATCTTAAAATGGCATTTTTGTAGTCTAAAATGCATTTTTTCCCCTCTAGCACATAATAAAACAATATATCTTTACAGGGGGTTACAAGGGGTTACGAGGGGTTACAAGGGGTTACAGGGGTTACAAGGGGTTACAAGGGGTTACAGGGGTTACAGGGAGTTACAAAGGGTTACAAGGGGTTCCAGGGGTTACAGGGGAAAGAGAAAGCTTGAAATGGATTTGCCAAAAAAAAGAACTTAATCAAACCATCTATGTTGTCAATTTTGGAAGAAAAACATAGTTTATGAAAAATGCTAAATTTTTGATCAAAATCATCGGTTAACCCCTTTGCAAAAATGCAAATTTTTCGACCATGTGAAAAGAACATTTTTATAGTCTAAAAAGCGATCTTTTCTATCTAATACATAATCAAACAATCTATTTTGTCGTTTTGATAAGAAAAACATAGATTGACAGAAATGCCAATTTTTGACTAAAATCCTAGGTTAACCCCTTTGCAAAAATGCAATTTTCGACTATGTGAACAATGAAAATTTTTGTAAATATGTGAAAAGGACATTTTTACAGTCTAAAAACCCTTGTTCACCTTCTAGAAGGTAATCAAGCAATATATGTTAGGCTTTTGAAAAGAAAAACAAACTTTCAAGAAAATGCCAATTCTTGCTCAAAATCATGGGTAAACCTCTTTAAAAAATTGGAAATTTTTTCGATTATCTTAAAATGGCATTTTTGTAGTCTAAAATGCATTTTTTCCCCTCTAGCACATAATAAAACAATATATCTTTACCGGGGATTACAAGGGGTTACGAGGGGTTACAAGGGGTTACAGGGGGTTACAAGGAGTTACAGGGGGTTACAGGGAGTTACAAAGGGTTACAAGGGGTTCCAGGGGGTTACAGGGGAAAGAGAAAGCTTGAAATGGATTTGCCAAAAAAAGAACTTAATCAAACCATCTATGTTGTCAATTTTAGAAGAAAAACATAGTTTATGAAAAATGCTAAATTTTTGATCAAAATCATCGGTTAACCCCTTTGCAAAAATGCAAATTTTTCGACCATGTGAAAAGAACATTTTTATAGTCTAAAAAGCGATCTTTTCTATCTAATACATAATCAAACAATCTATTTTGGCGTTTCGATAAGAAAAACATAGATTGACAGAAATGCCATTTCTTGATCAAAATCATAGGTTAACCCCTTTGCATAAATGCAAATTTTTCGACCATGTGAAAAGAACATTTTTATGGTCTAAAAGGCGATCTTTTCTATCTAATACATAATCAAACAATCTATTTTGGCGTTTTGATAAGAAAAACATAGATTGACAGAAATGCCAATTTTTGACTAAAATCATAGGTTAACCCCTTTGCAAAAATGAAATTTATCGACTATGTGAAAAATGACAATTTTTGTAAATATGTGAAAAGGACATTTTTACAGTCTAAAAACTCTTGTTCACCTTCTAGAAGGTAATCAAGCAATATATATTAGGCTTTTGAAAAGAAAAACAAACTTTCAAGAAAATGCCAATTCTTGCTGAAAATCATGGGTAAACCTCTTTAAAAAATTGGAAATTTTTTCGATTATCTTAAAATGGCATTTTTGTAGTCTAAAATGCATTTTTTCCCCTCTAGCACATAATAAAACAATATATCTTTACAGGGGGTTACAAGGGGTTACGAGGGGTTACAAGGGGTTACAGGGGGTTACAAGGAGTTACAGGGGGTTACAGGGAGTTACAAAGGGTTACAAGGGGTTCCAGGGGGTTACAGGGGAAAGAGAAAGCTTGAAATGGATTTGCCAAAAAAAGAACTTAATCAAACCATCTATGTTGTCAATTTTGGAAGAAAAACATAGTTTATGAAAAATGCTAAATTTTTGATCAAAATCATCGGTTAACCCCTTTGCAAAAATGCAAATTTTTCGACCATGTGAAAAGAACATTTTTATAGTCTAAAAAGCGATCTTTTCTATCTAATACATAATCAAACAATCTATTTTGTCGTTTTGATAAGAAAAACATAGATTGACAGAAATGGCATTTCTTGATCAAAATCATAGGTTAACCTCTTTGCATAAATGCAAATTTTTCGACCATGTAAAAAGAACATTTTTATGGTCTAAAAAGCGATCTTTTCTATCTAATACATAATCAAACAATCTATTTTGGCGTTTTGATAAGAAAAACATAGATTGACAGAAATGCCAATTTTTGACTAAAATCATAGGTTAACCCCTTTGCAAAAATGAAATTTATCGACTATGTGAAAAATGACAATTTTTGTAAATATGTAAAAAGGACATTTTTACAGTCTAAAAACTCTTGTTCACCTTCTAGAAGGTAATCAAGCAATATATGTTAGGCTTTTGAAAAGAAAAACAAACTATCAAGAAAATGCCAATTCTTGCTCAAAATCATGGGTAAACCCCTTTAAAAAATTGGAAATTTTTTCGATTATCTTAAAATGGCATTTTTGTAGTCTAAAATGCATTTTTTCCCCTCTAGCACATAATAAAACAATATATCTTTACAGGGGGTTACAAGGGGTTACGAGGGGTTACAGGGGGTTACGAGGGGTTACAAGGGGTTACAGGGGGTGAGAAGGGGTTACAGGGGGTTACAAAGGGTTAAAAGGGGTTACAGGGGGTTACAGGGGAAAGAGAAAGCTTAAAACGGATTTGCCAAAAAAAGAACTTAATCAAACCATCTATGTTGTCAATTTTAGAAGAAAAACATAGTTTGTGAAAAATGCTAATTTTTGATCAAAATCATAGGTTAACCCCTTTGCAAAAATGCAATTTTTTGGACCATGTGAAAAGAACATTTTTATAGTCTAAAAAGCGATCTTTTCTATCTAATACATAATCAAACAGTCTATTGTGGCGTTTTGATAAGAAAAACATAGATTGACAGAAATGCCAATTTTTGACTAAAATCGTAGGTTAACCCCTTTGCAAAAATGCAATTTTTCGACTATGTGAAAAATGAAAATTTTTGTAAATATGTCCAAAGGACATTTTTACAGTCTAAAAACCCTTGTTCACCTTCTAGTAGGTAATCAAGCAATATATGTTAGGCTTTTGAAAAGAAAAACAAACTTTCAAGAAAATGCCAATTCTTGCTCAAACTCATGGGTAAACCCCTTTAAAAAAATTGGAAATTTTTTCGATTATCTTAAAATGGCATTTTTGTAGTCTAAAATGCATTTTTTCCCCTCTAGCACATAATAAAACAATATATCTTTACAGGGGGTTACAAGGGGTTACGAGGGGTTACAGGGGGTTACGAGGGGTTACAGGGGGTTACAGGGGGTTACAAAGGATTACAAGGGGTTACAGGGGGTTATATGGGAAAGAGAAAGCTTGAAATGGATTTGCCAAAAAAAGAACTTAATCAAATATGTCTATGTTGTCAATTTTAGAAGAAAAACATAGTTTGTGAAAAATGCTAATTTTTGATCAAAATCATAGGTTAACCCCTTTGCAAAAATGCAAATTTTTCGACCATGTGAAAAGAACATTTTTATGGTCTAAAAAGCGATCTTTTCTATCTAATACATAATCAAACAATCTATTTTGGCGTTTTGATAAGAAAAACATAGATTGACAGAAATGCCAATTTTTGACTAAAATCATAGGTTAACCCCTTTGCAAAAATGAAATTTATCGACTATGTGAAAAATGACAATTTTTGTAAATATGTGAAAAGGACATTTTTACAGTCTAAAAACCCTTGTTTACCTTCTAGAAGGTAATCAAGCAATATATGTTGGGCTTTTGAAAAGAAAAACAAACTTTCAAGAAAATGCCAATTCTTGCTCAAAATCATGGGTAAACCCCTTTAAAAAATTGGAAATTTTTTCGATTATCTTAAAATGGCATTTTTGTAGTCTAAAATGGATTTTTTCCCCTCTAGCACATAATAACACAATATATCTTTACGGGGGGTTACAAGGGGTTACGAGGGGTTACGAGGGGTTACGAGGGGTTACAGGGGGTTACGAGGGGTTACAAGGGGTTACAGGGGTTTAGAAGGGGTTACAGGGGGTTACAAAGGGTTACAAGGGGCTACAGGGGGTTACAGGGGAAAGAGAAATCTTGAAACGGATTTGCCAAAAAAAGAACTTAATCAAAGCATCTATGTTGTCAATTTTAGAAGAAAAACATAGTTTGTGAAAAATGCTAATTTTTGATCAAAATCATAGGTTAACCCCTTTGCAAAAATGCAAATTTTTCGACCATTTGAAAAGAACATTTTTATAGTCTAAAAAGCGATCTTTTCTATCTAATACATAATCAAACAATCTATTTTGGCGTTTTGATAAGAAAAACATAGATCGACAGAAATGCCAATTTCTGACTAAAATCATAGGTTAACCCCTTTGCAAAAATGCAATTTTTCGACCCTGTGAAAAGAACATTTTTATAGTCTAAAAAGCGATCTTTTCTATCTAATACATAATCAAACAATCTATTTTGGCGTTTTGATAAGAAAAACATAGATTGACAGAAATACCAATTTTTGACTAAAATCATAGGTTAACCCCTTTGCAAAAATGCAATTTTTCGACTATGTAAAAAATGACAATTTTTGTAAATATGTGAAAAGGACATTGTTACAGTCTAAAAACCCTTGTTCACCTTCTAGAAGGTAATCAAGCAATATATGTTAGGCTTTTGAAAAGAAAAACAAACTTTCAAGAAAATGCCAATTCTTGCTCAAAATCATGGGTAAACCTCTTTAAAAAATTGGAAATTTTTTCGATTATCTTAAAATGGCATTTTTGTAGTCTAAAATGCATTTTTTCCCCTCTAGCACATAATAAAAAAATATATCTTTACAGGGGGTTACAAGGGGTTACGAGGGGTTACAGGAGGTTACGAGGGGTTACAAGGGGTTACGAGGGGTTACAAGGGGTTACAGGGGGTTACAGGGGGTTACAAAGGGTTACAAGAGGTTCCAGGGGGTTACAGGGGAAAGAGAAAGCTTGAAATGGATTTGCCAAAAAAAGAACTTAATCAAACCATCTATGTTGTCAATTTTAGAAGAAAAACATAGTTTGTGAAAAATGCTAATTTTGGATGAAAATCATAGGTTAACCCCTTTGCAAAAATGCAAATTTTTGGACCATGTGAAAAGAACATTTTTATGGTCTAAAAAGCGATCTTTGCTATCTAATACATTTTCAAACAGTCTATTTTGGCGTTTTGATAAGAAAAACATAGATTGACAGAAATGCCAATTTTTGACTAAAATCATAGGTTAACCCCTTTGGAAAAGTCCAATTTTTTGACCTTGTGAAAAGAACATTTTTATAGTCTAAAAAGCGATCTTTTCTATCTAATACATAATCAAACAATCTATGTTGGCGTTTTGATAAGAAAAACATAGATTGACAGAAATGCCAATTTTTGACTAAAATCATAGGTTAACCCCTTTGCAAAAATGCAATTTTTTGACTATGTGAAAAATGAAAATTTTGTAAATATGTGAAAAGGACATTTTTACAGTCTAAAAACCCTTGTTCACCTTCTAGAAGGTAATCAAGCAATATATGTTAGGCTTTTGAAAAGAAAACAAACTTTCAAGAAAATGCCAATTCTTGCTCAAAATCATGGGTAAACCCCTTTAAAAAATTGGAAATTTTTTCGATTATCTTAAAATGGCATTTTTGTAGTCTAAAATGCATTTTTTCCCCTCTAACACATAAAAAAACAATATATTTTTACAGGTGGTTACAAGGGGTAACGAGGGGTTACAGGGGGTTACGAGGGGTTACAAGAGGTTACAGGGGGTTACAAGGGGTTACAAGGGGTTACAGGGGGTTACAAAAGGTTACAAGGGGTTCCAGGAAAAAGAGAAAGCTTGAAATGGATTTGCCAAAAGAAGAACTTAATCAAACCATCTATGTTGTCAGTTTTAGAAGAAAAACATAGTTTGTGAAAAATGCTAATTTTTGATCAAAATCATAGGTTAACGCCTCTGCAAAAATGCAAATTTTTCGACCATGCGAAAAGAACATTTTTATAGTCTAAAAAGCGATCTTTTCTATCTAAAACATAATCAAACAATCTATTTTGGCGTTTTGATAAGAAAAACATAGATTGACAGAAATGCCAATTTTTGACTAAAATCATAGGTTAACCCCTTTGGAAAAATGCAATTTTTCGACCATGTGAAAAGAACATTTTTATAGTCTAAAAAGCGATCTTTTCTATCTAATACATAATCAAACAATCTATTTTGGCCTTTTGATAAGAAAAACATAGATTGACAGAAATGCCAATTTTTGACTAAAATCATAGGTTAACCCCTTTGGAAAAATGCAATTTTTCGACAATGTGAAAAGAACATTTTTATAGTCTAAAAAGCGATCTCTTCTATCTAATAGATAATCAAAGAATCTATTTTGGCGTTTTGATAAGAAAAACATAGATTGGCAGAAATGCCAATTTTTGACTAAAATGATAGGTTAAGCCCTTTGCAAAAATGCAATTTTTCGACCTTGTGAAAAGAACTTTTTTATAGTCTAAAAAGCGATCTTTTCTATCTAATACATAATCAAACAATCCATTTTGCCGTTTTGATAAGAAAAACATAGATTGACAGAAATGCCAATTTTTGACTAAAATCATAGGTTAACCCCTTTGCAAAAATGCAATTTTTCGACTATGTGAAAAATGAAAATTTTTGTAAATATGTGAAAAGGACATTTTTACAGTGTAAAAACCCATGTTCACTTTCTAGAAGGTAATCAAGCAATATATGTTAGGCTTTTGCTAAGAAAAACAAACTTTTAAGAAAATGCCAATTCTTGCTCAAAATCATGGGTAAACCGGGTTACGAGGGGTTATAAGGGGTTACAGGGGGTTCCAGGGGGTTACAAAGGGTTACAAGAGGTTCCAGAGGAAAGAGAAAGCTTGAAATGGATTAACCAAAAAAAGAACTTAATCAAACCATCTATGTTGTCAGTTTTAGAAGAAAAACATAGTTTGTGAAAAATGCTAATTTTTGATCAAAATCATAGGTTAACCCCTTTGCAAAAATTCAAATTTTTCGACCATGTGAAAAGAACATTTTTATAGTCTAAAAAGGGATCTTTTCTATCTAATACATAACCAAACAATCTATTTTGGGGTTTTAATAAGAAAAACATAGATTGACAGAAATGCCAATTTTTGACTAAAATCATAGGTTAACCCCTTTGCAAAAATGCAATTTTTCGACTATGTGAAAAATGACAATTTTTGTAAATATGTGAAAAGGACATTTTTACAGTCTAAAAACCCTTGTTCACCTTCTAGAAGGTAATCAAGCAATATATGTTAGGCTTTTGAAAAGAAAAACAAACTTTAAAGAAAATGCCAATTCTTGCTCAAAATTATGGGTAAAACCCCTTAAAAAATTGGAAACTTTTTCGATTACCTTAAAATGGCATTTTTGTAGTCTAAAATGCATTTTTTCCCCTCTAGCACACAATAAAAAAATATATCTTTACAGGGGGTTACAAGGGGTTACGAGGGGTTACAGGGGGTGACAAGGGGTTAAAGGGGGTTAAAGGGGGTTAAAAGGGGTTACAGGGGGTTACAGGGGTCACAAAGGGTTACAAGGGGTTCCAGGGGTTACAAGGCAAAGAGAAAGCTTGAAATGGATTTGCCAAAAAAAGAACTTAATCAAACCATCTATGTTGTCAATTTTAGAAGAAAAACATAGTTTGTGAAAAATGCTAATTTTTGATCAAAATCATAGGTTAACCCCTTTGCAAAAATGCAAATTTTTCGACCATGTGAAAAGAACATTTTTATAGTGTAAAAAGCGATCTTTTCTATCTAATACATAATCAAACAATCTATTTTGGCGTTTTGATAAGAAAAACATAGATTGACAGAAATGCCAATTTTTGACTAAAATCATAGGTTAACCCCTTTGCAAAAATGCAATTTTTCGACTATGTGAAAAATGACAATTTTTGTAAATATGTGAAAAGGACATTTTTACAGTCTAAAAACCCTTGTTCACCTTCTAGAAGGTAATCAAGCAATATATGTTAGGCTTTTGAAAAGAAAAACAAACTTTAAAGAAAATGCCAATTCTTGCTCAAAATTATGGGTAAAACCCCTTAAAAAATTGGAAACTTTTTCGATTACCTTAAAATGGCATTTTTGTAGTCTAAAATGCATTTTTTCCCCTCTAGCACACAATAAAAAAATATATCTTTACAGGGGGTTACAAGGGGTTACGAGGGGTTACAGGGGGTTACAAGGGGTTACAGGGGGTTAAAGGGGGTTAAAAGGGGTTACAGGGGGTTACAGGGGGTCACAAAGGGTTACAAGGGGTTCCAGGGGGTTACAAGGCAAAGAGAAAGCTTGAAATGGATTTGCCAAAAAAAGAACTTAATCAAACCATCTATGTTGTCAATTTTAGAAGAAAAACATAGTTTGTGAAAAATGCTAATTTTTGATCAAAATCATAGGTTAACCCCTTTGCAAAAATGCAAATTTTTCGACCATGTGAAAAGAACATTTTTATAGTGTAAAAAGCGATCTTTTCTATCTAATACATAATCAAACAATCTATTTTGGCGTTTTGATAAGAAAAACATAGATTGACAGAAATGCCAATTTTTGACTAAAATCATAGGTTAACCCCTTTGCAAAAATGCAATTTTTCGACTATGTGAAAATGAAAATTTTTGTAAATATGTGAAAAAGACATTTTTACAGTCTAAAAACCCTTGCTCACCTTCTAGAAGGTAATCAAGCAATATATGTTAGGCTTTTGAAAAGAAAAACAAACTTTCAAAAAAATGCCAATTCTTGCTCAAAATCATGGGTAAACCCCTTTAAAAAATTGGAAATTTTTTCGATTATCTTAAAATGGCATTTTTGTAGTCTAAAATGCATTTTTCCCCTCTAGCACATAATAAAACAATATACCTTTACAGGGGGTTACAAGGGGTTACGAGGGGTTACAGGGGGTTACGAGGGGTTACAAGGGGTTACAGGGGGTTACAAGGGGTTACAGGGGGTTACAGGGGGTTACAAAGGGTTACAAGGGGTTCCAGGGGGTTACAGGGGGAAGAGAAAGCTTGAAATGGATTTGCCAAAAAAAGAACTTAATCAAACCATATACGTTGTCAATTTTAGAAGAAAAACATAGTTTGTGAAAAATGCTAATTTTTGATCAAAATCATAGGTTAACCCCTTTGCAAAAATGCAAATTTTTCGACCATGTGAAAAGAACATTTTTATAGTGTAAAAAGCGATCTATTCTATCTAAAACATAATCAAACAATCTATTTTGGCGTTTTGATAAGAAAAACATAGATTGACAGAAATGCCAATTTTTGACTAAAATCATAGGTTAACCCCTTTGGAAAAATGCAATTTTTCGACCATGTGGAAAGAACATTTTTATAGTCTAAATAGCGATCTCTTCTATCTAATAGATAATCAAACAATCTATTTTGGCGTTTTGATAAGAAAAACATAGATTAACAGAAATGCCAATTTTTTACTAAAATCATAGGTTAACCCCTTTGGAGAAATGCAATTTTTCGACCTTGTGAAAAGAAGATTTTTATAGTCTAAAAAGCGATCTTTTCTATTTAATACATAATCTAACAATCTATTTTGGCGTTTTGATAAGAAAACCATAGATTGACAGAAATTCCAATTTTTGACCAAAATCATAGGTTAACCCCTTTGCAAAAATGCAATTTTTCGACTATGTGAAAAATGACAATTTTTGTAAATATGTGAAAAGGACATTTTTACAGTCTTAAAACCCTTGTTCACCTTCTAGAAGGTAATCAAGCAATATATGTTAGGCTTTTGAAAAGAAAAACAAACTTTCAAGAAAATGCCAATTCTTGCTCAAAATCACGGGTAAACCCCTTTAAAAAATTGGAAATTTTTTCGATTATCTTAAAATGGCATTTTTGTAGTCTAAAATGGATTTTTTCCCCTCTAGCACATAATAACACAATATATCTTTACAGGGGGTTACAAGGGGTTACGAGGGGTTACGAGGGGTTACAGGGGGTTACGAGGGGTTACAAGGGGTTACAGGGGTTTAGAAGGGGTTACAGGGGGTTACAAAGGGTTACAAGGGGCTACAGGGGGTTACAGGGGAAAGAGAAATCTTGAAATGGATTTGCCAAAAAAAGAACTTAATCAAACCATCTATGTTGTCAATTTTAGAAGAAAAACATAGTTTGTGAAAAATGCTAATTTTTGATCAAAATCATAGGTTAACCCCTTTGCAAAAATGCAAATTTTTCGACCATGTGAAAAGAACATTTTTATAGTCTAAAAAGCGATCTTTTCTATCTAATACATAATCAAACAATCTATTTTGGCGTTTTGATAAGAAAAACATAGATTGACAGAAATGCCAATTTTTGACTAAAATCATAGGTTAAGCCCTTTGCAAAAATGCAATTTTTCGACCTTGTGAAAAGAACATTTTTATAGTCTAAAAAGCGATCTTTTCTATCTAATACATAATCAAACAATCTATTTTGGCGTTTTGATAAGAAAAACATAGATTGACAGAAATGCCAATTTTTGACTAAAATCATAGGTTAACCCCTTTGCAAAAATGCAATTTTTCGACTATGTGAAAAATGAAAATTTTTGTAAATATGTGAAAAGGACATTTTTACAGTCTAAAAACCCTTGTTCACCTTCTAGAAGGTAATCAAGCAATATATGTTAGGCTTTTGAAAAGAAAAACAAACTTTCAAGAAAATGCCAATTCTTGCTCAAAATCATGGGTAAACCCCTTTAAAAAATTGGAAATTTTTTCGATTATCTTAAAATGGCATTTTTGTAGTCTAAAATGCATTTTTTCCCCTCTAGCACATAATAAAACAATATATCTTTACAGGGGGTTACAAGGGGTTACGAGGGGTTACAGGAGGTTACGAGGGGTTACAAGGGGTTTCGAGGGGTTACAAGGGGTTACAGGGGGTTACAGGGGGCTACAAAGGGTTACAAGGGGTTCCAGGGGGTTACAGGGGAAAAAGAAAGCTTGAAATGGATTTGCCAAAAAAAGAACTTAATCAAACCATCTATGTTGTCAATTTTAGAAGAAAAACATAGTTTGTGAAAAATGCTAATTTTTGATCAAAATCATAGGTTAACCCCTTTGCAAAAGTGCAAATTTTTCGACGTTGTGAAAAGAACATTTTTATAGTCTAAAAAGCGATCTTTTCTATCTAATACATAATCAAACAATCTATTTTGGCGTTTTGATAAGAAAAACATAGATTGACAGAAATGCCAATTTTTGACTAAAATCATAGGTTAACCCCTTTGCAAAAATGCAATTTTTCGACTATGTGAAAAATGACAATTTTTGTAAATATGTGAAAAGGACATTTTTACAGTCTAAAAACCCTTGTTCACCTTCTAGTGGGTAATCAAGCAATATATGTTAGGCTTTTGAAAAGAAAAACAAACTTTCAAGAAAATGCCAATTCTTGCTCAAAATCTTGGGTAAACCCCTTTTAAAAAATTGGAAATTTTTTTGATTATCTTAAAATGGCATTTTTGTAGTCTAAAATGCATTTTTTTCCCTCTAGCACATAATAAAACAATATATCTTTACAGGGGGTTACAAGGGGTTACGAGGGGTTACAGGGGGTTACGAGGGGTTACAAGGGGTTACAGGGGGTTACAAGGGGTTACAGGGGGTTACAGGGGGTTACAAAGGGTTACAAGGGGTTCCAGGGGGTTACAGGGGAAAGAGAAAGCTTGAAATGGATTTCCCAATAAAAGAACTTAATCAAACCATCTATGTTGTCATTTTCAGAAGAAAAACATAGTTTGTGAAAAATGCTAATTTTTGATCAAAATCATAGGTTAACCCCTTTGCAAAAATGTAAATTTTTCGACCATGTGAAAAGAACATTTTTTTAGTGTAAAAAGCGATCTTTTCTTTCTAATACATAATCAAAGAATCTATTTTGGCGTTTTGATAAGAAAAACATAGATTGACAGAAATGCCAATTTTTGACTAAAATCATAGGTTAACCCCTTTGCAAAAATGCAATTTTTCGACCTTGTGAAAAGAACATTTTTATAGTCTAAAAAGCGATCTTTTCTATCTAATACATAATCAAACAATCTATTTTGGCGTTTTGATAAGAAAAACATAGATTGACAGAAATGCCAATTTTTGACTAAAATCATAGGTTAAGCCCTTTGCAAAAATGCAATTTTTCGACTATCTGAAAAATGAAAATTTTTGTAAATATGTGAAAAGGACATTTTTAAAGTCTAAAAACCCTTGTTCACCTTCTAGAAGGTAATCAAGCAATATATGTTAGGCTTTTGAAAAGAAAAACAAACTTTCAAGAAAATGCCAATTCTTGCTCAAAATCATGGGTAAACCCCTTTAAAAAATTGGAAATTTTTTCGATTATCTTAAAATGGCATTTTTGTAGTCTAAAATGCATTTTTTCCCCTCTAGCACATAATAAAACAATATATCTTTACAGGGGGTTACAAGGGGTTACGAAGGGTTACAGGGGGTTACGAGGGGTTACAAGGGGTTACAGGGGGTTACAAGGGGTTACAGGGGGTTACAGGGGGTTACAAAGGGTTACAAGGGGTTCCAGGGGGTTACAGGGGAAAGAGAAAGCTTGAAATGGATTTGCCAAAAAAAGAACTTAATCAAACCATCTATGTTGTCAATTTTAGAAGAAAAACATAGTTTGTGAAAAATGCTAATTTTTGATCAAAATCATAGGTTAACCCCTTTGCAAAATGCATCAAACAATCTATTTTGGCGTTTTTTTTTCGACCATGTGAAAAGAACATTTTATAGTCTAAAAAGCGATCTTTTCTATCTAATACATAATCAAACAATCTATTTTGGCGTTTTGATAAGAAAAACATAGATTGACAGAAATGCCAATTTTGATTAAAATCATAGGTTAAGCCCTTTGCAAAAATGCAATGTTTCGACTATGTGAAAAATGAAAATTTTTGTAAATATGTGAAAAGGACATTTTTACAGTCTAAAAGCCCTTGTTCACCTTCTAGAAGGTAATCAAGCAATATATGTTAGGCTTTTGAAAAGAAAAACAAACTTTCAAGAAAATGCCAATTCTTGCTCAAAATCATGGGTAAACCTCTTTAAAAAATTGGAAATTTTTTCGATTATCTTAAAATGGCATTTTTGTAGTCTAAAATGCATTTTTTCCCCTCTAGCACATAATAAAACAATATATCTTTACAGGGGGTTACAAGGGGTTACGAGGGGTTACAGGGGTTTCGAGGGGTTACAAGGGGTTACAGGGGGGGGGGTTAGAAGGGGTTACAAGGGGGGGTTACAAAGGGTTAAATGGGCCAAAAAGGGGGTTACTAGGGTCAAAAGAAAAAAAGTTTTTTGAAACGGATTTTGCCAAAAAAAAGAACTTAATCAAACCATCTATGTTGTCATTTTTTAGAAGAAAAACATAGTTTGTGAAAAATGCTAATTTTGATCAAAATCATAGGTTAACCCCTTTGCAAAAATGCAAATTTTTCGACCATGTGAAAAGAACATTTTTATAGTCTAAAAAGCGATCTTTTCTATCTAATACATAATCAAACAATCTATTTTGGCGTTTTGATAAGAAAAACATAGATTGACAGAAATGCCAATTTTTGACTAAAATCATAAATGCAATTTTTCGACTATGTGAAAAATGAAAATTTTTGTAAATATGTGAAAAGGACATTTTTACAGTCTAAAAACCCTTGTTCACCTTCTAGAAGGTAATGAAGCAATATATGTTAGGCTTTTGAAAAGAAAACAAACTTTCAAGAAAATGCCAATTCTTGCTCAAAATCATGGATAAACCCCTTTAAAAAATTGGAAATTTTTTCGATTATCTTAAAATGGCATTTTTGTAGTCTAAAATGCATTTTTTCCCCTCTAGCACATAATAAATTAATATATCTTTACAGGGGGTTACAAGGGGTTACGAGGGGTTACAGGTGGTTACGAGGGGTTACAAGGGGTTCCAGGGGGTTACAGGGGAAAGAGAAAGCTTGAAATGGATTTGCCAAAAAAAAAAAAAAAAAAAAAAAAAAAAAAAAGTTCTGCTTTTGCGCATGCTTGAAAAAGATGACGATCTATTTAATTATGCCCGAGTTGTTGGAAAATATGCCGTTTTTGATGCAACACTTTTTTTACCTATTTGTAGGGTAACTGGGCGAAAATCAACGCAATGAAGAGGAATTGGTGAAAAATGCGGTGTTTTGGCTACCTTGTTCCGAATCGCTGGTCGTCACCAAAGGGTGAAACTGAAAAGATAACATTGAAACGCGTGGTAGCAAAAGTACTGACCTCTTTAGTAAGTTCTATTGCTGTTCCTCTTTTTGCATCTTGTGATATGCCACCATCAAGTGAATATGCCATAGCGGTACGAACCTGTTGATTTTACAGATATATATAATGGTAATAGGACTGAGTGGAGTTTTATTTATGTATAAAACATACCATAAATGAACTAATAAACTCCTTGGGTGTCTATTTAATTTTGGGGGTCTAAGCGGAGGCGTTTAAAGGAGACGGTTATGCTCATGACTGTAACAAGCTGAACAAAACTAATATGTTTGCGGCGAAAATATCAAGAGAGTTGAAAAACAGCGGAATATATTTACGCCATCAATAGATACGTCTGCGCTGTCTAGAGATCCATATCGTCTTTTCAAATCCTAATATCGATGTCAGAATCTTGGCTCCGGGTTATCGTGATGCAGGGGCGGATCCAGGATTTTTTTCAGGAGGGGGTGCACTCGCCTCTTGCTCTACTTCAACACCAATAGACCACATAGTTTTTTTTTTGCAGAATACCAGTTGTATTAGAAAACCGCAGGTCATATCGGGGGGAGGGTTGCGCACCCCCTGTACCCTCCCCCTAGATCCGCCCCTGTGATGCCATCAATGGTCCATCCAAACTTCGAACTTCTCATTGAACGAGATGAAATACGCAAAGCCCCGTTAATCAAGGAAGAAACTGAATTAATCGAATTATTTTGTTCCTTTTTGCTTATTCGGATGTTATTCCAAGGTTTTTGGAGTAATTTTCATAGGGGGCGTCTATTAGACAGGGGACGTTCATTCGAGGGGGGCTCCTAATACAGCGTAGAGGGAGGTGGGGGCGTTTATTAGAATAGAGGCGTCTATTTGGAAGTGGCTGTCTATAGGGTCATTTGCGGTATACAGACAAAGAAAATAACGTAAAATGCGCAACCTTGTACTTGCACCTCAGGGGACCTATGATGGAGTGTTACGCTTGTTGCCTACCCGGAATGTCCCACCAAGGCGCGCTCTCTCAATGGAATGGGCAATTTTTAATTTTTAGAGGACAATTGGAAGACGTTTTCGTCTTATTTTGAAATACCAGCTCAAATACACTGTTTATAATTACTTAGTTCACTTGGGCTCAGTCTGTGCTATCACACACAGTCCTACTTCGCCGAAACTTTATCTTCATTTATTCAGTTTTATTTCGAGTAAACTTATTTCATCGGACTCCAGACCATTTCTCTTAGGTGAACGTTAATAAATGAATAAACCAGGGAATAAATAAGAAGCAGTTACCTTGAATAGTTTTCTGAAGTCTTTACTTTGGAAATAATTGGACAGAAAAAGAACGTCATCTTCTTGGCTATCAAGCTTGAGACGAATCTGTTCCATACAATTTATGACCCTATGGAAAGCTTAGGCGAAAAAACGAGCAAATAAACAAACAAAGAGCTTGAAAATTAGTATATCTGCAACTGTAAAACATATGGTCGGAGGCTAGTAAGATTCGTCAGAGTTCGTTAGTCGCCTCAAAAGAGAGAGCAACAAGTTTACAAATCGTTTCATTAAAATATCAAGTTCGCACGTTTCAGTAGGTGTTTGAATCTTCTAGCAGTGACCAGGTGGCTTAGCTGAGGGTCTCAATGGGGTGGTAGCATTTACGGTTATCGGCTAAAATTTTGGCTCTTTTACGGCTATCGGTTAATTTTTTTCAGTTACGGTTAATTATAAAATTAAAAATTAATTTCTTTGTTACAAAGAGTTAAATATTAATAAACCTGTATTTTTTTGTATCTTTAAAGCAACATGAATGTCTTGAGGGTCATCTCTGGATGAAATAAGTTATTCTTCTGAAAATTTTTAATATTTCATAGATCACGCTTTTAGAGTATTCCACTTCTAATATCATTTTACGCATAGAAATGTCAACTATGAAAACGTTTGTCATCTTTTGCATCTTTGCGTGATTTCCTTTTCTTCAGGGGCTACTGATTCGTTCTTCGGCGTCGCTTTGTATTTGCTACCCTCTCCTCTTTTTACTACCACGATAGGGTCTTTACCCCATTGAAGAACAGATTGTATAACATGAACTAAAAAGGAACAAGCATACAGATTGAGACTCGAACATTTCTGTGACTCTCACATTTACAAGTGTCGGAGCCAAGCTGAGAAGTACGCGGCTTTGAAGATCTTTGCCGCAGTTTTCTTATTCTCTTAAGCTGCAGAACTCTTTGTTTAAAATAGAAACAAAAGGTTAAGCTATTGCCAGTCAACTAGAATTTTTTGTGAGCCATGAAAAGGACCATTCCTTATAAAAGACATAACAGTTTATTTGAACAGAATCTTCTTGAAAAGCAAAACTAGTAGAAACGGGAACGTAAAGAGCCAAAGTAGCCGCGAAATAAGAAACACAACCGTTCTACGGTGAGTTTAGCACCTTCCTCAAATTATCAAATTTAAGGAGCAAAATTTTTTTACGGTTAACTCTTTTTACCCTATTTACGGCTAACGGTTACAATTTTTCAATTTTTACGGCTATCGACTAAATTTTGGGCCGTTTTACGCCTATCGGTTAACCCCATTGAGACCCTCTTAGCTGTCTTTAAGCCATTAAGCCTGGGCTTAACAAGAATTTGGGTCACAATCGCGAGATAAAAGGACGTGAAAACTGCAACGCAATGTCTGTTGCCGCGACTGACACATACTTCACTGGTTTAATCTGTCGGTGAACGCCATCTTGGTTTTCAAGTATATTCGTTATAAGGATCCCCTTTGTTAACTCCAATCATTTAGGTTAAAAACTCGTACTTTTGGACGGCCTCAAGCTGTCTCAGCTCTTTAGCAAACCGTTATCTCCTCGTTTGTTTTAGTTTTAGTTTTTTGTTTGATTTTGTTTTTTGTTGAACTGGCCACCACTTTGAGATATCAATAAAGTAGCCTAGAGGTTCCTACAAGAAAGTTGATTTCACGCCCTAGTTAAAAATGCGACTTCAAACAAACCAATCCATCTTGATGAATCTTCACTTTACTTTGTGCTGTAAAATACTGTTTTTGGTCATTGCTTATTTGGTTTGCTTTTATATCCTCCCCCCCCACTTTCCAAGGACTTCTATACGGCACGACTTAAAAGGAAAAAAATGCTTCAACCAGTTGCAAAAATGTTGAGACACTCCCACGATAAAACGACCTTTCTTGCTTCAAATCGCTGCTAGTCACAGGTCTGTGAGATATAATACTGACCTCCCTCCTCCCTCCCAATCAAAGTTGTTCCTCCAAGTTTTAAGCATGGTCTTGTATTGCTAGCAACTGCTGTACAGTGTCTAGATACCTTTGCAACTGGTTGTAGCTACGCCCCTGTCTAGTACATGAATAACTCATTGATCATTTTCCCGGGGAGTGATGATTATATTAGGTATAGTTTTTTTGTCGGCAGCATATTATGACTTCCATTTGTAGTGAACAAAGGGACTATTCTATGAAACTCCAGCTTGTATTCCGCTACACTAACAGTCAAATTCGATTTGTGTTCTTGATTAAATAAGGCATTGAACAGAATTTTTATTCACAGGTATTGGGTGGATCCGGTACCGCTGTGCTCAACAGCACAGAAGTAATAAGTTTATTCATTGGCAATCTTCAACTGGCTTCCATACATACGTGATATAAATCCCGCTTAACAAGTAACATTCCAATTTGTGCATGAATTTTAGGGGGAAGACAATTTTCGGAAAAAAATTTTCTAGAATTTTGAAACATTTGTTGTAAAAGCCCTGATCATGAACATCTAAAAATGGTATAACTGCCTATCTTTACGTTTATTCTGCCTTTTTCTGGTTTTCTTTGTTGATATTTTCAAAGTTTGAAAAAATTTTTAGGGGATAAAATATGCCTTTAACGTTTTTTGTCTACCTTTAAGTGGTTTTGAACTATATTCCCGTTGGGTGCCCCTGCATTTTGTCGCTTCCGTGCATAAAGAGATTAATCGACGAAACTTGTTGCATTCCTTACTACATTAACAAGATTTAAGACTTACTTGGGTCTGCTGAGGTCGTTTCCGTGCTATTGGTTAACTCAGCCATGGAGTAGAATTCCTGAACTTATCCTTCAAACGAATAAAACCGATTGTTCGTGATAGAAGTGAAGCAAAAGCTGAGCAAGCTGAAATTCGCAACAGCTAAATACTTACTTGCGGAGTAGTTCATTTAAGTAAACTAACGACATAATTTATTCTAATTCCTTCCGTGCTTAGCTTGTTATGTAAACAGCGAAAATAAACAAGTGTCAGAGTCTGTTAGAAGAAGGATAAATGGCTTTTATTAGGAGAAACACTTCAGTGAAATCAAGGTTACAAGGATTTCTACAAGAGTCCACTGCGTGATAACCAGTTTGTGAGGGAACAACTTTACGCGGTTGTCACACAAACTGTAAACAAGGAGCACTTCAAGGAAGTCTTACATAAACAGTTGTTAGTTTCCTGTTAACAGTTACTATTTTTTTAAGCAAAGTTTTGCACGGGTTCCACGAAAACATTTTTCAAACATGGCAAACGAAAAACAGTCCCACAGGGGCCCTTTGGAACCGAGACGATGTCTTCTGCAGAGCCCCTTGTCCCTGTTGCTACAGCGCATTCGTTCTGTACACCATGAAAAGGTCCCCATAAAAAGGTTCAGGATGTAATAATACCTTTTTTCCAGAAATAACGTGAAAGACCATATTTTGGGACCGAGACGACTTATTCTTATTATTTTTCTTATTCTAAGGGGCCCTTTGGGGCCGAGACGAAAATACAAACGAAATGTGCTCATGCCCCCTGGGTATCCCTGTTCCTTAAATCGAACTAATTTCGTTCTCATGGATTATTTAAAATGTCTATCCGTTCGTTTTTATTTCGTCAATGTTAACAATCCAAACTGCATTAACCTCTGTCCAAAGGAGCGCCCTAGATGTTTTTTTTTTCAAGGATTAAGCCTATATTTGTGCCATTGGGGAGCTTAAGCAACGTCGCTTAAAAATCGAATTCACGTTCTTTAGTCTTCATCGCGATTATCCCAAATCACTTACTTGGTCAATTGTAGGCGAGCTCTTCCGGAGTTGAATTCCTACGAATGACATCCAAGCTCAGAAACAGAAAAAAAAATTTCGCCACCGCTTGTTCACGCCCTCCATAAAACTTCAAATTAGCAAGAGTCACGTGGTGGTCGTGCACGAACGGCAAGGAAATGTACCAAAAAGCATGCTGCACGTGCAAAGTTGTTTTTGTCTAATTAAAACTATTGTTTTTTTTGCCGTAGACGTGGTTGTTGCTGAAGCTCCCTAGTTACGCAAAGACCAGCTTTCTCTCACATAAAATTCACTCCACTAAATATTTGCACCTCCCTCCTCCCCTCAAAATAATGACTGTTTTCTCCGTGCTCAACACAGAGACATGGACTGGAAGTTAAATGATATATTAAAACTCCTCGTTCTGTTGGTCTATTTTTCTTTATGTCATGTCTGACTTTCATGCTCTCTTTGTACAGCATTTTTAATGTGCTCAGAAATAGCTGCAAGAGGATTGGCTTTGTAAGCAGGATGCTGCAGAACTTGCTGAAAATGTGCAATTTCACTTGCCCTGAAAACAAACACACACAAAAAACGCGTTACGCATACATTTCTGAATACCTTACTTTACATTATTATTCGGTCAAAATATTTCCACGATTCTGATTGGCTAAAAGCACATGCATAATTCATCATAACCAGCTACCGATGACAAAAAAAGTTTTTGAAAAAAAAAAATGGAAAAATTTTGCGATTAATGACGTCAAAAGAACAGCTTCCTTGCAGGTTAATGCATCATTAACCGAGAAAACCCGGGGACGAGGTTGAGTTGTTTCGGTTGTGAAAACAAAAATGGCGGACATTTCACTCGTTTCAAGAGTAAGAACTAGACGAAATAATAGCTAAAAACATGGCAAAAACAGCAAGAAGACAACTCTGAGGGCGACATCTGCTATTTGGGAGAATATTTGCTGAGCTGAACAACCCTAAACATGCACTTTCGAAGATGAACTTAACATCGATGGAGGTAAGCATGTTTTAGTTACGTTTTAAGCTAGGAATTATTTTGAAAAAACAATTATTGAATTGTGTAGTTCCAGAAAATATCCATACTCCCTCCATAGAAGGGATTGGAAATTCCTGGGGGGTGGGGGGTTCTCAAATGCCCCAAAATTTAAGTAAATGCATGAAGCTTGACTGGAATTTCCAGAGAGATGGGGGTCGAAGGAAAAATCCCTTCCATGAGGGAGGTATGGATAATTTTGGAACCAGAGAGATATGAAGAATCAAAGGAAAAATAATTCTTCATAAGATACTCAGCCTCATTCATTAATTGTAAAATCAGATATGGCTTTGTAAATGAGGTCTAAGGTGTCTAAGGTTTGATGTAACTAAGGCCCAGTTCAAATGTCCAACCATTCATGTACCAAACTTTAAAATACTTATTTGGGTCAACCCAAATGATACAAGTTTGAAGGTTGATTCAAACGTCGAGCCTTATTAGACTCAATTCATTTTCACGATGTTCCAATAGTACAATGTGCTACAATGCTTAACCAGTCAAAATAAATTATAGTTATTGATGCATTAGATTTGGCACATGAAAAGTTCGATGTTTGAAACGAAGTCGCTCCACAGTCGAAATTCCCACGTGGGCCACTCGAACTCAATTCATGGTACACCCAAATTGGCTCATTGCTGGTGTACGATGACCTGATTGACGTCATAGGGAAATAGTTTGAATGAGGGTACACAGTAGGAACACAGGGTCAGTAGGATCAGCAGGAAAAGAGGATCAGTAGGATCACAGGAACAGTAGGATCAGTGGGAACACAGGATCAGCAGGAAAAGAGGATCAGTAGGATCACAGGAACAGTGGGATCAGTGGGAACACAGGATCAGTAGGATCAGCAGGAAAAGAGGATCAGTAGGAACACAGCAACAGAAGGAACAGTTGGAACAGAGGATTGGTAGGATCTTAGTAGGATCAGTAGGAGCAGTAGGATAAGTAGGAACGGAGAATCAGCAGGAAATACTTTCAATATAGTTGTTGTTGTCATAAAGTTAAAATAGTGTGCAATAGTGCGCATGTAATAATATTCTTAGGCTTGGTTTACCTAACAATCACGTATGAAAAGTTTGATGTTTGAAGTGGGCCTAATGCAATGTTTTGATAAAGAAGCTAAAAAAGAGCAGATGCCAAAGGTCTTGTGGGTGGTTTAGGAAAGTACCAGTTCTGTCTCTGCAGTCACTGGTGCAGATGGTCATGGTGTTGGCATCAACATATCTACCAAAGCTAATCAACCCTCCCATCTGACTAACTTGTAAGGGAGTACACACTCACTGTAGAGCCTGCCGAGCTTTATTCCTCATCTTGTTCTTCTTTTTTGGCTTTTCACTTCCTCCACTGCAGAAAATAAATAACTTTAAGTTGATGGCAATGACTTGTATCAGTCACAAATTCAGAGGCACATCAACTTATATTTTAAGACGTTTTATAAATGCTGACCATCAAAGGTTAAGGTAAAATTTGGATGAGTCACATGCATGTATGACCCAAAATAATACAAGTAAAATGTACACTCTGTAAAATACTTTCAGTACTGAGTTCATCTTATTCAGCTCTACCTGTTGTCAGTGGATTTTGTGCTTCTGACAAGGTCAGGTATGTTTATGGTCGGCAAAGCTGAGAGCAATGGCTCCATGTCACCAATGACAACGGTCTGGGCTCGCTGTTTTGCTTTCTTGCTGTCTTCTTCTACACGTCGGCCTGCATGTAACTCTGTGGTTCATGAACAGAAAAAAGACTGTCAAGAACTCAGCAAATAATACTAGGTTTTTCCACAGGCTAAGGCCCAGTTCAGACACTGAACTTTTCATGAGCTGAACCTACATGTAGTTTGAATTAAGGGCAACCCAATTTATTTAGACCAGCTGAATTGATTCAGACGCCGATCTTAATTCCAGCCAAAATAAATTCAGAATGAGAAAAATACCCATTTATGATAATTTATGCAGTAGGTTAGCTACATGAAAAGTTCGGTGTCTGAATCAAAGCTGTTCCAAAGTCAATCCAAAGCAAAAATTCTTGGCTGAGCTAGTCGCAAAGCACAGCTGAGTGAAACAGGTGTTCCTAATATAGGAATAACAAAATTATTGATTCAGCTGCCAAACTATTCATGTACTTAATTCAATGTATTAGGTTCGGTTCATGAGGAGTTCGGTGTTTGAACCGAGCCTAAGTAAAGAATTCCTAATAGGCTACACGAAACCTGTATGAGAAACTCAGTGAAAGAATAGATGAAATACAAAGTAAACTAAAGCTTACTTTTCAGGAACTGTTCATGGCGTTCTTTCCGTCTATCCTTTTTATTCTGCTGCCCCTTCTGTGCTTGAGAAGAGTCTGCTTCATCAACATTTGCATCAAACAGTCCAGCCATGGGAAAAATAGCAGGAAGACTAGACTATAAATAAATGACAGATCTAGCCTTCGATTTTCTAATCAAAAATTATCTAATGCATGATTCAATATGACCTGTTATTATCCCCCCCACCCCCCCCAAAGCAACCCCTTGGACAAGTCCAACCGTTTGGGCCAGAGTATTTCTCTTTGATTTTGCGAAGTATGTGTTATTTCTTTTGCAGTTTGCATGAAACTGCGGAACTCAAGACTACGTATTTTCAAGGGAAAATGCAGGAATTTGTTGGAATAACCATCAAAATTAAAGTCTGTATTTGAAGGAATGTTTTAAAATTTCAACGGAATGTGCGTAGGATGCAAAATCAAATCGATTTATTTTTTGTAAAAGAAAACAAAGGAGACGCTCACAAAAATGCCCAGTGATCAGAGCTTCGACCATTTCTATGCTAATGTTCCCTGCAAGAGTGAAGGCCTGCTTGGTGAACCAACACTTTCAAGAAAGCAAGGAGGTTAGACTGGAGGACTGGAGGTTGGTGCTAGTGCACCAACCTACCCCAAAACTGCCAATGATCATTTTAGAAGGGTCTATTATGAGGCTATTGATCTTAGCGTCAGTGCTATCTATCAGGAAAGTTTCAGATGCTACATCCAGATGGAGACCCTCTTGGTTAAAGCTGCTTATGGTGATGACTATGAGGCAGATTTTAAGTTTCTTGAAGCATCATTCAGCGAAGATGTTGATACAGGGGCGCTACCTGGGCATGCCACTAAGTATTTTGGAGGTTACGTTAAAGAGAAGATATCATGTTTTGATGAAATCCAGTTGGCGGTGTCAAAGTTTCCAGAACCAGAAAAGAAGCTACACTGTAATTCAGGAGCCCAAACTATCTGCATGCCTACTGTAAATCCTGGAACTAGTGCTGCTGGCAAGCGTGCATTCTCATCTGCACGGTGTCTGAAGACGTGGCTTCCATCCAGGATGGGTGACCTAGCAGTGGTGAACAGTCACAAGCGGAGAACAGACAGTGTCTCTATAGCTGACATCACAGGACTTTCTTTCTCGCCATGAGAATCGCAAGAGAAGCTTCGGCACTTTCGACAACTTCAAAAAGTAGCAACCTTGGAAATGTTTATTTGACATATTGGCTATATTGGATAGTATAGCATGTGTGGACTTTGAGGTGGTACATAAGATGGCATGCAAATGCAAGATAAATGGTGAAACACCAACCTGAATGTTTCTTTGTATTGGCCAGATTTCTTACCCCTACCACTTTAAAATGGTCTCCACAGTCCCTGCCAGGAGGGCATGGTAACAGGTCAAATTGAACCATGCATAAAGAGAAGATACTTTCAATAATTATTACCAGCAGTAGTTAGAAAGGGAAGAAGGAGCCGGGATAAGGTAGAAAAGCCTACTTTCCATATGATCTGTAAGGGTGTGTGACAGTCTGGAACGTGATCTTCGACCAATCCGCAGCGCCACATCACAGGTATGTGGAAACATAGTTTTGGCCTTGGCATGTGTAGTAATCTACAGCACACAGGCTAGTTGATCAGAGGAGTTGAAACTGGTCCTACTTTTCCAACCATTGTGATACTGCAGATCATGAAAATTTCTAATGGGGGCCCTAAAATAACATTGTGAAGTATATTAAAGGTTAGGGAGTACAGGCAACGACGCTCAAAGGTCCAAACGCTTTTGTTCCATCACTGTGCATTGCGTAAATTTCACTTGACAGATGGTCCAAACACACGTGATCTGATTACAAGGGGCAGAAGGTCGAGACGAGCATAATCAAATTGCATTCTGTGCATTCCATTAATTGTTAAAGGAAGTCCAAACGAATGCTGGCTACATACACGCGACGCATGCGTGATAACAACCTGGAGCCTCTCTTGTCGCCCGCGAAAAGGAGACAGCATAGGTAGGAACCGTGGGACCAGGCAACAGCTTGTGCGAAAATTTACCCACTCAAGATAAACAACTTTAAGATAAATTTGATTACAGAACAAACAGTTGTTACAATTATTTCTGACATTAAGTAAAAACAGTAAAAATTATCCACGTGGGCGTAAATGAAGAACGATTAAAAAATGGAAGATTAACTAGTGATCATCGACACCGGTAACAGAACTTAGAGTGGACATGTTTGACATACCTCATTTGGTTTCATTACATCTTGTTTGTCCTTTTCGTTGTCGGGTTTCACGGCTGGAAGATGGAGTTTTTGGCGAGCTCTTCGTATCTTTCCCATGTTGTTTTGAAATCGCTTTGAAATGGGCAAGTACTTCATGGCTGAATGCCATATACACGACAAGCCCACAATGCCTTGCTAGTACCTGCAATGCCCTGCCAGTACGTGTACTATGAGTAGAAGGTGTACTAGCTCTAGTAGCTGCAGTAGCTGTATTATGTGTAGTAGGTGTAGTAGGTGTAGTAGCTGTAGTAAGTGTAGTAGCTGTAGTAGCTGTAGTTGGTGTAGTAGCTGTAGTAACTGTAGTAGCTGTAGTAGCTGTAGTAGGTGTAGTGGCTGTAGTAGGTGTAGCAGGCGTAGTGTCTGTAGTAGCTGTAGTAGGTGTAGTATCTGTAGTAGCTGTAGTAGCTGTAGTAGCTGTAGTAGGTGTAGTATCTGTAGTAGCTGCAGTAGGTGTAGTATCTGTAGTCGCTGTAGTAGCTGTAGTAGCTGTAGTAGGTGTAGTAGCTGTAGTAGCTGTAGTAGGTGTAGTAGGTGTAGCTGTAGTAGGTGTAGTAGCTGTAGTAGTTGTAGTAAGCGTAGTGTCTGTAGTAGGTGTAGTAGGTGTAGTAGCTGTAGTAGGTGTAGTAGGTGTAGTATCTGTAGTAGCTGTAGTCGCTGTAGTTGGTGTAGTAGCTGTAGTAGGTGTAGTAGGTGTAGTATCTGTAATAGGTGTAGTAGGTGTAGTAGGTGTAGTAGGTGTAGTAGGTGTAGTAGCTGCATGACCTCCGTATTATTTTGCGTGGCGAAAGTATATCTACAGTAATTTATAACAAAACAAGGCTAACAATATTCCAATAGTATTCTAATAAACTTATGTTACATCACCTACATTTGACAAAGACAATGTTTCCCGGAGTAATGGATTACGACTTTGTTCATACATGAGTCAACGAAATTCGTTACCAACATATTCACTTATAATAGTCGTTAAACTTCATGTGAAGTTAAATGCTTTTAAAGGTTGATTTCTTTTGATTTTTGGTACCATCACATTGATTCGTTGTTAGACTGAGTTGTTGTAATTGTTGTAATTGTTACTACACCTACTACAGCTACTACAGCTACTACAGCTACTACAGCTACTACACCTACTACAGCTACTACAGCTACTACAGATACTACAGCTACTACGCCTACTACACCTACTACAGCTACTACACATACTACGCCTACTACACCTACTACAGCTACTACAGCTACTACAGCTACTACGCCTACTACAGCGACCACAGCCACTACAGCTACCCACCACAGCCACTACAGCCACTTACTACAGCCACTACACAGCTACTAACCAACCACTGCTACTACAGCTACTACAGCCACTACAACCACTACAAGCTACTACACCAACTACAGCTACTACACCTACTACAGCTCACACCCACTACAGCAACCACAGCTACCACAGCCACTACCCACCACAGCCACCACCAGCCACTACAGCTACTACACCTACTACAGTTACGGCACAAACTACAGCTACTACAGCTGCTACAGCCACTACACTTTACTACAGCTACTACTACTACAGCTACTACACTTACTACAGCTACTACAGCTACTACAGTTACTACAGTTACGGCACAAACTACAGCTACTACAGCTTCCTACAGCCACTACACACAGCCACAGCCACTACAGTTTACTACAGCTACAGCTACTACAGCTACTACACCTACTACAGCCACTACAGCTACTACAGCTACTACAGCCACTACACTTACTACAGCTACTACAGCTACTACAGCTACTACAGCCACTCACTACAGCTACTACAGTTACTACACCTTCTACAGCTACCACAGCTACTACAGCCACTACAGCTACTACTACTACACAGCTACTACAGCCCTACTACAGCTACTACACTACTACAGCTACTACAGCTACTACACCTTCTACAGCTACTACAGCTACTACATGCTTTTAAGATGCTTGGTAACCTGGCACTCCGAGGAGAATATTTCACCATGGGAGGGGACGAAAGGGTATTTCTTCTCTCGTGGGGGAAGGACTACTTTTTCTGCTTTCCTGAACAAGTTTGTGTTATTGCTTTTCATGCCCTTACGAAAACATTCTTGGAACTGAAATAATTATTTGCAGTTTACAGTACACTTTGCAAGCAAAGCAAACTTTTGCAACAAATTACTTGCCCAAGTGGGGTGGAGGGAGGGAAAGTTTTGCATTTGAATGACAGTTTACAGTCAAGGTAGGTCAAGCATAACCCCCATGATTCTATCAAGGAATTCATTATTTGAAAAATGAATCCGTTAGTAGTTCCCGTAACTTGTGTCAAATTCGAATCTGCCCTCCTCAATATGCGTAATGAGCAGTGAATATTTTTTGAGAATTTCGTTGTATTTGGTCAGATTCAAAATCTTTGAATAGATAAAATTGCTTCAAAGACATTTACATCAAATTCAATGAAACTGAGCCTGTCGAACTTTCATGACTATCTCGCATGTGAATTCACTGGTCATTACGCATGCAACAATACAGAGATGAATCTGAAAATTTATCTATAACTATCAACGGATTCGACTTTGAAATAATAAATTCATTAATGGCATTTTTGGAGGGGTACACTTGACCTGGCTTGAATGCAAATCCAATCTATGTCAATTTCTCTTTAGAAGGCATACAATTTGGACACAATTTTAGCCATACATATACTAAGTATTTGTAATTTTATTAATAATGTTTACCTGTATGTATTATTTACATACATATAAAGGTTTTATATGTAAAAGCAGGTTTTAGGTCCAGTTTAGCTCAGTCGGTAGAGCGCTTTACTGCCACTACCAATACTCAGGGTCTTAAAATAACTGAGAAATGAAGGTACTTCCTTTGTCCTTCAAACGGCTAGACCTTTGCGTGCCTCGCATCACCACATAAAATGGCGCTCCCATCTCCATTAGGAGACGTAAAAATAGTGTCCGCAATTAGTACTTTCGTGCCAAATACATTGACACTCAAATAAAGTGCATTTTTTAAAATTTAGTACTTATTGTCTGTTCTGTTAAGTTATTAATAAATAAGATACTTTTTAAAAACACAAGTGCAATTGCTGAACCTTCCTTTGAGAAAAGAACATTGAAATCTCTCCACAACGGTCACCATGGCAACAGAGTATTGTGGTCACTCTATAAGCCCCGATATCTAACATACAAATTCTCCAGACTGATCTCCGATACATTCTCCAAAGAATTCGTCAAGAGAATTTGTATCAATCAAAGAATTTTCCCTTGGGTGATCATTTTGTCAATTCTCATAACCTTTTCTCTTGATTATGTATTGTTATTCTTGGGAGAAAAACTGATGGGGGAGTACCCTGCAAGCATGTAAATTGTAATTGTAAATGCACTTGTAAATTCCCTTTTTTTTCTGACCTGGCGACTTTTGCAACATATACAGCTATAGGGAACAAAAATGGTTCCTCACACTGGGGATCTTTATACAATACCGCAATGACAATGGGACATTCATTCTGGAATGAGTTTTGATCCAGAACAAAGTTCCTCCTGTATTCACATGACAAAAATGAATGGCTCTGCCTGAGACATTCTCACTTAGGTGGTTTCACCCCAGATCAGATAGACATGTGCCACATGCCCCAGACTACAAGATTTGTGATTTTCCATCCAGAGCGAAGTTTCAGTTTACATGATACCAGAATGAGTATTTCATTTGGATTGAAAACCGGAATGAACTCATTTAGGAATGGCTTGTACAGGAACAAAATGTTGTTTCTGCATCACATAAACAAATAAACAGAAATATATAGAGATGGAATGATCTTGTTTCGGAATGAAAGTCATTCTGGTATCATGTGAATAGCCCCTTACTGGCAACAGTGCATATTTAAAAGTGTTTCTCACTATAAAAGACAGTATAGATATCTCTTCAAAGCAAGCTTATAAAATCCATTTATCTTTACGTTGATCCTCTGGAATAACAAACCAGTTTGGGGAAGGTTCATCAGTCTTCAGCCAATTAAAATCATTCACAAGTGACCAGTTATTTTCCAAAGGATTGAGACCAGCAATTTGAAAATCACTTTCCAAAGCTTCATACTTCCAGTTAAACGGGGCAAATCCTACGTTAGAGCAATCCTCTACAATAGCTCTACTTGTTACGTGAAGATAAAAGTTACTGTCTGTAGTGCTATGAACACGTAACTGATGACATGGAAAGACAAAATTACATGTGGAGCAGTCTTCAATGAATACAGCTCCAGATACTGGACCACAAAGAACGGTGCAGTCTGTTAGTTTGTTCATAAGCAAGGCCGACGGGGCACCATAAACTATAATGTTGCAATTATGGAGACCCCTTAGAGTGACATCTTGACTTTTAACCTGTTCTGGCGTCATGGTGAGAGTTTGTGCTGTGAGTCCTTTGAAACCAAGGCTTGCCTCTAAGAATTGTTTTTCTGTTGTAGAGAGGGCATCTGTCTTGTTTTTGGTTTCTTGATGGGTGATACCCTCCTTTAGGACAGAAAAAAAACATTTTGAGAAAGTGAAAATAACAAGGTGCAACATTTCGATTGTGTATCAGTAGCTGGGCAAACCTCTGTACATGAAATTGGCACTAAGATATTAGTGAAAGCCCTTCATATAATTCGTACATGTATCTCTTATCAAGCCACTATGTCAGAACCTCTGAATGTAAGAGCCCCTGGATGTAAGAGCGTCCGGACACAAGAACTCCTCGAGGGAAGAACCCTTGGACATAACAACCTCTGAACCTAAGAACACTTGGATGTTACAACCCCTGGATGTTAGAAATGCATTAGAAGCTCTGAACATAAGAATCCCTGAATGTAAGAACCCCTGAATGTAAGAAACCAAGGATATCTGAACCCCTCAATGACAATAAGAATGTTATGTACGTTAGAACCCCTGAAATATGTAATAACCCCTGGACATAAGAATCCTTGGACATAAGGACCCCTGGACATAAGAATCCCTGAACATAAGAACCCCTGGATGTACAAAACCAAGGATGTAAGAACCTCTGGATATCTGGACCCCTAAATGACAATGACAATGTTATGATGTAATTTTAGCATCACAAAGAGGAGAGACACATAAAAAACTGGCGTCAGTTTGTTCACTGTAAATCTCTGAAGAATACAAATGTATCTCTAAAAACATCCATAAAATCTACATGTATGTATTTACTTAACCAGCGGATAATTCCTTTTAAAAATATAGTAGTGAAACCCACACGCCTCCACAGATTTTCATACCAGCCTGGAAGAATTTTACAGCCCTTAAAACTTACCGCTAAATACAAGTATAAATTATTCCATGGTAACAGGTTATTCAATCCCACGAGGGGTGGAGATAGTGGGGTCCGATTTGTTGCATAATTATTCATTGATGCCGAAGTTCTTTTTTTACTTTATCCAAAATTTGAGACATATTGCTATTTTTTAAATCAAAACACAAGAAATAGTTTTCTGTTCTGTTGATTGTCCAAGAAACACAGAACAAGATTATGAAATCAGGGCAGTTGATAAGACAGAATGTTTGATTACACCTGTCATCAACCCAGGGGGTGGAGCTGGGGATATGCATAATTATTCATTGATGGCCTTTTTTTACTGTATCCTTGAGACATACTGACTAATAGTTCTGTTCTGTTGATTGTGAGAAACACAGAACAAGATTATCCACATGCTTACTATTCCCTCACCTCTTTTGTCGGTACCACCTCCTTTTTTCTGGCCTTAAAAGCAAACTTCTTCTTTGGCATGTACTCCTCTCGCTTTTCGTTAATTTCTTGCTGCAAGGCTTTAAGTATATCTTGTGAGACTTTTATCTGGCGAGAAGGTAAGAACATCGCGGAATCTGATACAAATTTTTGAAGTTTCTGACACTTGTCGGTCAGGGATTCAAAAAACTCCGTGGCTTGCATTTTGTTACCGGGTTCTATCAAGCTAGCCCTTTTGCTAAGGAGATCCTCTACTGCCCCCTTTTCCTTAGCGAAGGTAGTTTCGAAATAATCTGTTGTTTCTGTTGGTTGCTCATTGCTCTCTTTATCAGCTTTCCGTTTCTCTATGGCCGCAAGCCTTTCTTCATTACGACGTTCAAGTCGCTCCCTCACACTGTCCGCCATATTTTTCCAAACGAAGGCCTGGATACTTTGTTCAAAGGCCAGGTCGCAAATTCCTTTTTGTCTCCCGCATGGTCGCCATCTTGAAGGAAAATGATATTAGCGTCATAAAAATTCTTTCGATTTCAAGCGTCGATCGCCACGGAAAATGAATCCGTACGCGTATCAACAAGCGCAACTACATCAGCAACAGCCACAATATCAGTTTCAAGGACAGTTCGCCCAACCACAACAATATTATTATGTTCAACCTCAAGCGTCGACACAACAGGCATTTCAAGTGCCGCAGACATACGCCGCTCAGCAGTATGGAGCTGTTCGTTATCAAAATCAGCAAGCTGTTTCCGCTGTGGGACAGTATCCCGTGCAAGGATATGGACAAGTTGTCGGGACACAGCAATACGCTGTGGCAGGACAAGGCTATTATGCTGTCCCCGGTGCTCAGGTAGCAAACCAAGGCCTTGAACAAACTGTTCAGTCTCAGCAACAAAGTGCTACGGAAAATCAAGCACCACCTCTGCCACCAGAGCAGCAATCAGATCCTTCTGCTCCTCCTCCGCTCCCTCCTGAACCAGCTCCTAGCTCAAGCGCCAATGCCGCAACATCATCAGGAGTATTCGGCTCTGTAGCAGGGGACCAAGGCAATGCCGAGCAGCAGATTTTGGAAGCACAGAAGCAGTATCAGGAAAAGTTCGCACAGTGGCAGCAGCAGTATGCGCAGTGGCAAGCTCAGCATCAGAATCACCCTGATCAGAAACAGTATCAAGAGTGGCAGAAACACATGGAACATTGGCAGCAACAGAGTCAGAGTCTACTGCAGATACAGGCTGGTGGGCAGCAGCAGGTATTGGGGGCTACAGCGACTGTCCAGCTTCCAGGACAGCAGCAACAACAGTTGCAGCAGCAACATCAGTTTCAGCAGCAACAACAGCCGCAACAAAATGTTCCATCCCAGCAGCATCAGCAACTTTCATTTCAGCATCAAGGTCAACAACAGGAACAACAGCTTTACCAGGTGCAAGGACAAAGCCAACAAGATTTCTATAGCAGTGAAAACCAAATTTATCAACAGCAACAGCAACAACAGTCTCATCAAGGCCAGCTTCAACAACAACAGCAGCAACAAGCCCAACCACAGTGGCTTCAAAACAGATCGCAGAATCAACAAGGAATTCAATATCAGTACAACCAACAACAACAAAACCAGTCTTACGCACATGAACAGAGGCAACAGTGGCAACCACATCCAGAACATCAGCAGAATAGTTTGGTGCAAAATCAGGATACTTCTAACAGTAGTCAGGTTCCAAAATGGATGCAATCTGCGAAAACTACAACAATAGCAACCAAACAGGAATCAAAGTGGATGCCGGCTGGTAATTTAAAGTCAGTGAATCAACAAAATATTTCTTCAGCGTCTACTAATGATACCAAACAGTTGCCAAGTTGGATGCAGAAGAGGTCACCAATGCAGCAAAAGACTTCAGAAGGAATGCAGAAGCAAGAGGCAGAACAGAAGGACATGCCAAGGTGGCTTCAAGAAAAGCTTGAGAAAACAGAACAAGATGTCAAGCAAGCGGCAGCTGAGAGGGCTGCACAAGAAGTGGAAGCGCAAAGGAAGCAGATGCCGAGGTGGATGCAAGATCAAGGAGGTAGAAGCAAGGCGGCTGAATCAAGTCAGGCGCCACAGAAGTCATTACCAAAATGGCTTCAAGATAAACCATCAACCAGTGGAAATCAGTCAGAAGGTCAAAAAACGGTTGGTCAAGTTCCAAAATGGCTTCAAGCCAAAACATCTGCCTCTCAAGAAAGTACTGTATCAACATCAACAGGTAAATAATCATCTCGATATTGAAAAAAAGTTGTTTTAAACTTGAAATCATTCCAGCCTCAACTTGTCCTTTGAGCTGTTCAGGTTTTGCAAGCAGTATCCATAGTGACAGATAGTATTTTTCTTGCTCTTGTCTTTTGTACCATAAAATTAATAATATGGTATTGCTGCCTTATACTGTAAGATTACCTGATATGGTGCTACAGGGCTCGACGTTGCGACCTGTGGGGTTGCCAATGCAACCAGCTTTTACTCAGTGGCGACCAAATTTTCACGCCTGGTCGCCAACCTGGCCTCCAAGATAGGTGACTTTCTTCTTTGGGAAAACATTCACTAATGATAATCCGTTATCCTTCACAAAACTAATGGATAGGTAATGGTTTTTCAGGGTTTTTCTAACGCTCTAAAGTTTTGCCCAAACACTCTGAACTAATGGTTTGTCTAAACCCTTTAACGATTTGTTTAAACGCTTTAACGATTTCTACACTGTAACAGATTATTCATATGATTTCCTGAACCTTAAGCTTGCATACCTGTTTGGGGAGATTTACGCTTGAGTGTGGGCTCATTTTCCCAAAAACCGGCTGGTAATTGAGCCTCGAGCGAAACCCATTCGAGAGAAAGTTCAAAAGGAAGTCTAAAGCATTCTTTTTCTGTTAAGGCTAAGTAAAAGATGTTAAGTTTATTGTATTCAATTAATTCTCAAATTTAATTTTTGGCAACCAGAATACTCATTCTGGCGACCAAAAATGAAAACTTGGGGGCAAGCTGGCCCCAAGATTTTTTTCTCGAAGTCGAGCACTGTGCTAAAGTTCTGGTGCCTTTGTGTTTTTTAGTTTCATCGTCACCTGTGAAAAGACCCTCAAAATGGGACAGAGAAGAAAGGTAACTCAATAATATTTTATTTGCCTTTTTGTTTCCAAAGGGTTCAGTTTTCATTGTGTTCCCTATTCACCTTTTCTCCATAATACCTGTTTCGACAATACTTATAAGCTGATCGCACACAACTTTTTTCAGGAGCCTCCTCTTGGTCCGAAACTGGTATTTACATGTATTTTGTGCCTTGCTTTGAAGTTTACCTGTTATCTTTTACATACGAATACACTCCTGAATTGTTGTTTCTACTAGTACGTAAGGACTGATTAAGAAGCAGCATCAGGAAGTTGTTCTTTCTTTCTGCCCTTTGCATTTTTTATCAAGTTATCAAGTTATCAAGTGACCTATCTTTCACAGTGTTAATCTCTGCTTATTGGGAAAAATCATATAAACATACAGCTGTAGTAGCCATAATGTAAGTGCGTGTAACTACTGTTATTCAGCTGAAGGACATTTACATGCGTGTTACATACATGGTATCATGTAACGACATCCTTATGCCACAAGGATGTGTGCAACATTTCTTTAAATAAGACAAGAATATTATTAATTTTTTCTTTTTCTTTTTCAGAACTCCCCTCTCTACATCTGTAACCATCAGTCCACAAAAATTAGACCCTCTGAAGGAAATTCAGTTGTTGAAGCAACAACAAGAACAACTTCAACAACTTCAGGAGCTTGAGAAACGTTTTAAGCAAACATCTTCTGCATCGTATGCGTCACCTTCTTCATCAGCTAGTTCTTCCACTTACAACAGCCAAACAGCATCTACAACTTACATGAGTGCAGAGAGAACACATGCTGGGTTTCAAGACAAAAGTAAGTATCAATATACCTTAACAGGAAACAAAATAATCCATTGCAATGTTCCATTGTCTTCAATGATGTTATAAGATTTGATGTTCACTTACTGAAAATAATGGATCTACAAGCTACAACATGGGGTTTCACTGAAAAGTTTGAAATGCTGTCTTAACTCATGGTCTTCTTATGACCTGAAGACCAGGCTAGGTTACATGGCATTTAAAATTAACCCAGGATACATGTATGTCCTCTCCCCCCACTCCCTGAGTTGCACATTTAGAAGGTTGTCCCATACAGGTAAGAGTTTGAATCATTCCTATTAAGGGAGGCACTCTCAGTTTAAAGGTGGAGGAGGTTCCCCTCCCCTCCCCCCCTGCATTGCACATTTAGAAGGTTGTTCCATACAGTAACCTCCATTCCTATTAAGGGAGGGACTGCCCGTTTAAATGCACATGTAGATTGCTTCTTTAATCCCCTTCCTGAACCACCTATGAAACAAGGACATGGGACAGAACACAATATGATCATGGGTGTAATGAGCACACAAGACATTTTGTTGCATCACAGTTTTGATGTACACCTAGATCATATGCCATAGATCAGACCAGCACACATATGGGCTGTAGCAATCTAATGTTTGATTTGGGTGGGGGGGGGGTACAGTGGTATAGACTTTACCTGGAACAACATTGAAATCTCATGGTTATGTTTTAGGTTCTACCGAGAAAACTATGCAACAGAAGCCAAAGAAACCACCTTGCAAGTTCTTTCCCAAGTGTCGCTTTGGAAACAACTGCCATTTTCAACATCCACCTTGCAGTTCGGGCTCAAGGTTAGCTCTAAAAATAATGTAGGAACAATGTTAATGAAGGGGTATGCAGAGCCTTACTGTAAGTGGAACCTGATCCAGTGTGATATACAAGCATATACAAGCATAATTATTGAAAAGCGAATCTGGCAATAATTATGTCATAAGTCGTTTAGGGCTTTTTTACACTCACCCTTTGTACTCAGTGGAAATTATGACTTTAATTGAGATACAGATCTTGCCTTTTCACCAGTGCACACCAGAGAGAGGTTGTCCAAGGTACATGTGTACTAAGCCTTTACTTCCATTTTTGTTTAGATGCCAAGCATGTTTCCTCTTTTTCTCTTCACTTATTTGTGGCCACCTGATTTTTGACAGAAAAAAATACAATTGTATTATGCAATTCTTATTTTTTACACAGACCGTTAATGGCATTTTTTTTTTTAGAAAACCATTAATGGGAAGAATTTCCATTTCACAAAATCATCGGGACCATTAAATTTTTTATTTACAGTGTAGTAAATTTTAGAATTCATATTATCCAAAAGTGTTTTTTTCCTTTTTTGCTGCAGCATTTCACATCTATAAAACTTCTTTAGGTCAAGTTTTTGCACAGTGTTGAACATCTTTTACAACAAGGCACTGAAGGAGTACTTTTTCTCTTTCAGATGCACAAGTGTTGATTGTATATTTGACCACAGTGCTGATCCCACAACTGAAGAAACTCCAGAGGAACCACAATACCCAGGTACACTGCTCACCTCTGTTAAAGGACTAAGACTATTATAAATTATTATTATATTTAGGCATTGAACTTTTTCCCATTGTTTGTTGCAATCTATGGCAAGGATTGGTAGAGATTTAAACTTGACAAAGTTGGCCCATCTTTTTCAAGGTTTAATGCTACGCCTGCAAAAATCACCCCCCCAAAAAACAAATCATTATGGTTAGTGCTCCCTGATGAAATTTGTTTGATATTATGCTTCATAACATTACAGGAGCATTTTGAGTCCTTAAACCTATCACTCCCAGAGTTAATTGATGGGCAATTATGGTTAATACCGGTAATTACCATTATTAATTTTGCTGTTACCTTTTGTTTTTAGAATTAGAGGCCTTTACTGAGACAACTGAAACATTCAGTGGAGTCATGTCACAGTTTTCGTCGAGAGGAGACCAGATTCCTGGTATAGGAGATGGTGAATTCCCCGTGGTACCTGCCAAACCAGAAGAGGAGTCTGTAGAAGGTCTGTTGACATAACTCTTTCATTCCTAAACTCAAATGTCATCGAAAATCCCATATTTCATGTAGAGTAATAATATTATTGAAAAATCACTTATGCTACACTAGAACACTCATTTCATCCACAGACTCAAAAGTTAGAACCACCTTGTACAGCATACTAAACAGTACCACAGGAAAGTATTGCTCAGCATTTTTTGTTTGAATGGTCACACCATAGCATTTTGTCAACAGACTCAAAAGTTAAAACTACATTACCTGGTACATGTCCTTGAAGTTGCCTCAGCCAAATTTTGATTACATGTATTCCTTATTTTAGTTGATGACAAATACCAGCTTGGAGATGGTAGTTACCAGGAAAACAATTATGAGGTAAACATAAAGTTTAATGGTTTTAGTCTGAGCCAATGCAAAACTTTAAGCTGAAGGAAAAGTTGGCCAAAAATTAAATATCTGCTCTAGGCTAAACTAAAATTCAAATTCAGATTTTTGCAACCTCCCTAATCTATGTGCCACAATGCATGTAACTGTCACAAATGATATGCCGTATGGGTATCTGCCACTTCCACATACAGTGTATGTGTACCACAAGAAACCCATTATGAGTTTCTGGTACCACACAATAGCCATTTTGCACATTGACATTAGAAGGGCAAATTTAAGCTGCCAAGTTCAATTAATGTAAATTGCAAAGTTTACATGAATGAATAACTTTAGGCAGTAGAGTTGAAAAGAATACCCGGATAGAAAGAGTATGAATGCGAAAATTTTTGTTTACAAACACGACTTGCTTGTCTAACACACACATGTATAAGGGCTGTGCTCTAGCAGCACCTGGTTGGCCCATGGCGCTTAAGGTTTGCTCTGGGGCGACTAGAAAATCTATGTTTTTTTTTTTCACAGAAATCATAATTATGCTGGGCACCCTGCATTTCACAGGTTCAGGGCACTGGGCTCCCTTCAATTTTTCTTAGTAAGAGCATAGCCTTGTGTATAAGGGCTATTCTTGGAGCAACTAACCCAGAGATTATGTTAAGTACTCTACTCTCTCAATGTGCAAGGAAAGTCGTGTCTGATAGCCCGGGGCTAGTGGATTTTGCTATCGGGCTAGTGATTTCTGTTCTTAACTTGCGCAACGGGCTAGTACTGTTTTTTGGGGAAGTTCAGATTACAAAAGGATTGGAATAAATCCTGCCAATCAAAAAGGGTTTTGAGAGCTAGTTGAAATGACTTGTGGGCTAGTACATGCTAGATACAGCTTACCCGAATCGCAGGCAGTAAAACAAACTTTCTTTGCACCCTGTCTCTTAAAGGCTCCTCAAGATGACTACATGGAGGTTGAAAATGAACAGTATACAGAAGGAGGAGCCGATGAACAACAATCAGTCCCTGAACAGACCACCCAATCTGCAGCAGATCAAGACAAAACACATGGTGAACAATGGCAGTGGCAGGCTGAAAATGAATGGGGAAGGCCTCCTTACCATCAGGAACATGCTGGTGATGCAGGTATTGTAAATTCAGACTTGGCAAGCATCGCTTACAAATTGAAATGGGCAGACATACAGTACCTGAAACTCCAGAAAATCTTCGAATTTGCCCCTTTGGCCACTTAAATGAAGTTGAATGCGAATCACACTTTCTATTCAATTGTAATCTTTACAATAGTCTTCAATCTAACTTTTACAGGAACATTAGTAATAATGTAGGTAATACCATGTACTTACGTGGGAATACTGAAATAAAGTTGTTGTTGTTGTTGTTGTTGTTATTGTTGTACATGAATGAACAGTAATCCAAAGAAGTTGAAAATTTTTTCAGCTCGTGCAGTAGCGAAAACAAAAAAGTAATGCAGCTTTTTGTGTGAAGCAACTACAGATTAATGGATGAGTTGTGCATAAACACCATTGTTCTTTCTTATTGTACTCCTCTTCAAGAGTAGAACTATTTCTTTGAGACTCCTAACAGTTAGTACTCAGGTAATCCTCATTTCTCAAATAATTAGTACATTTAGTTTGATTACAGTATTCTGCATTATGCAGAAATATAATAACTAACTGTTGAAAACAGAAGGTTAAATACCTGTCATTACCCCCCATGCCCTCACACTGGTGTGGAACCACATCCATCATGCCACTCTTGACATCTTTTTGAAACTCATCTTGTGCTGGAGGAAGAGATCTACCACACCACAAAACAAAATTAAACACAAACTGACACAACTCCAGCATGCAAAGAAAGTAGTGTCTGATAGCCCAGGGCTGGTGGATTTTGCTATCAGGCTAGTGAATTCTGTTTTAAATTGCCTGATGGGCAAGTGATGTTTTTTTGAGCAATTCAAATAACAGAAGAACTGTGAAATCAATTCTGCTAGTCAACAAGTTTTTGGGGCTAGTTAAAATGATGTCTGGGCTAGTAAATGCTAGCTTCAGCATGCCCTAATGGCAAGCTGTAAAAATGATTTTCTTGGCACCCTGCAACTCTCACTCATTTCATTCTGAACTGTTCACTAATAGTTATTAATTTCTATCTTGCAGGCCCCTCTCAGGAGTCAGATTGGCCATCGGCTAGAGGCAGGTTCTCCAGATGGGGTGAAGGTGAACCTCCTCCAGGAAGAGAGGGGAGGATGCCTGTACCAAGAGAGGGTGACACTGAAGGTTCAGGTGACAGACGAGATTGGAGAGCACCCCTTGAGAGAGATGAGTGGGGACGTCCAAGACCTCCTCACCCAAGAGATGAAAGGGAGAGTGCCCTTGGAAGGCATGAAAGAGACAGAAGGCCACCATTTCCTGATGAGCTTGGCAGAGGGCCACCGTTCCCTTCTGATGAACGGGGAATGAGACCCTCCTGGTGGGACGAGCGTGATGGAAGACCTCCATTTCCAAGGGATGAACAAGGCAGACCACCTTATTTAAGAGATGAAAGAGAGAGGCCTCCTTTTCCACGAGAGGGTTGGGAAGAAAGACCTCCTTTCATGAGAGACAGAGACCTTGGGCCACCTTTCAGAGATGAGAGAGGAACAGAGCCCCCTGCAGAAAGAATTGAAGGTGAATCAGCTTCTAAAGATGGAACGGAAGCCCATGTACAGAAAGAGTCATCTGAGAAAAATGTAGCTCCACAACATGAAATTAAGAGATCACCAGCTAAAGAGAGGCCACCCTTTCCAGTAGATGAAAGAGAGCGGCCACCTTTTCCAAGAGATGAAAGGGAACAGCCACCTTTTCCAAGAGATGAGAGGGATCGGCCACCATTTCCAAGAGATGAAAGAGATCGGCCTCCATTTCCCAGAGATGAAAGAGATCGGCCTCCATTTCCCAGAGATGAAAGGGACCGACCACCATTTCCAAGAGATGAGTGGGATCGCCCCCCATTCCCAAGAGATGAGTGGCATCGACCTCCTTTTCCAAGAGATGGAAGAGATCGGCCACCATTCCCTCCAGGTGATGGTGATTTTCCATTTCCACCAAGAGGTGCTAGGGATCGTTGGCCACCACACCCAAGAGATGACAGAGAAAGATGGCCACCACATCCAAGGGAGGAAGTGGATGCATGGGCTTGGGAACGAGAGCATGGTCCTCCTGGCAGACCTTTATCTCCCAGGGGAAGAAGTAGAAGGGGAAGACCCCCATTCCATGAAGATTACAGGGGAAGACCCGTGTCACCACCTCCATGGCCCCCATTTGATCATCCCCAGAGGGGATGGTCTCCTCCCAGACGTGATTATCGGGGAAGATCTCCACCCCGTGAAGAATTTGATCGATTTGGCCGGCCACCACCCCCACGTGATGCTGATTTCTTTGATGACCGAGGCAGACCACCACCACGGGATTGGGATCGAGAAGACTGTGAGTTTCTGAATATTATAATGTATCAGTAATGAATTAATTAAGTCTTCTTTGTAACTCTAAAGGAGCATTTTGTGTATGTCTAAATAATGACTTTAGCACAGAAGTGATCTTAAACAGCAATATCCTTGTGACATAACCCCTTTTAAGATGAAATGTTCATTGAGACAAAGATTTCTGCATCCATATGCAAGTGTGATTCTCTTCAAATGTGTAATTTTGACATAATCGGGAACGCAATGTTTGATACATTTGTTCAGTACATTAACCTTCACCAAGGAAGACCATTTGATGTTGCAAGGTTACTTTGAACTTTTAAATTTAATATTAGGGAGAAGACCACCCGATGATGAGAGATTCCGAGAACGTCATCATCCAGATGATCGATGGCGAAGATCACCCCCACCCTATAGGGATCATCCAGAGCACTTCCCCCCTGATCGCCCTAGAGAGTGGCCAAGAGACGAAATGAGGGGTCCAGATGAGAGGTTTGTTAATCATGGCTTCATACACTCCTTGAAATATTGGAATGGTAACCAACATAAAAGCATTAATCATAACTATAACAAAATTGTCAAATCTGTTTGGTTATCAACTGTCCTGATTTCAGCACTAATAGGACATTGAATAGGATGGCATGTATCATGCCTGTAATTGGACAGTATGCGCCATCACACGCTTGGGCATAAACCGCTTTTTTTCACTGCTAGCAAAAAAACTCTCGGAATTTCCCCGGCAACTATGAACGTGGCCCCTGGCTACTTTAATAGGAAAATAAAAGAAAAATAGAACCAAAAGAAACCCCCTAGCTGTTTGATTCTCCGTCTACTTGTTGCATTTACCTGGCAACTTGAAATCTTAGTCATCCCAACAATTTTTGAAATGTTACCTTCTCTTTCACATTAATTTCCCTTTTTCAAGGGTCAGGTCAAATTCCAATACCTTAATTTCATGAAGCATTAATTTCCTATAGTGAAGTATTTAAGTTTTTCGAACAGATGGTATGATGAGCAAGCTCCTACAGATAGAAGACCACCCCATGATGACTACTATAGAGACAGACCCCCGTATCCTGAAGATCGCCCTATGCATGACCCTGCTAACTACCCACCCCACCCTGAAGAAGCTGGACACCAGAATGAACCGCCCAGGTTTGAGAAGAAGGCCGAGGTTGTTCCTGTTGAGAGTATTCTTGATTCTCCAGGAAGAGAATCCAGACCTGATCGGGTAAATATGCCAACCGTCTCATTTATTATTGTGCCAGCTACCAGTTCCATATGTTTACATGTACTTCTATATTTTTGTTGTTGTTGTTGCATTGTTAGCCTTTATGGAATATGAATTCCTGTAATTTGTGTTCATAAAATTCCGCATTTTTTTTGTGTGAATCCTTTTAAGGTCAGAACATGCTAGGCAACATGTCACTGCAATAGGTTGCTGTGACAAATCACTCCCTGTGTACTAGTTGGGGATAACTTGATGCAACAAGTTGCTTGACATGTCACAGCAACAAATTGCTTCGTGTGTCTCAGCAACAGAATTGCACTTGATTTTGTACGATCTGGTTGCGGAGACAAAGACTTTCACAAAAATTCTCCAGTACACATGAATTGATTTGTTGCGGCGACATGTCGCCTCATCGTGTTGCTGCAGCTTGTCAGCCAGTGTTTTCCTACCTTTATCGTTAAATTTCTTTGTTGCAGATTGTGATTATTCTCAGAGGGCCACCAGGGAGTGGTAAAACCCATGTAGCCAGGCTGATAAAGGTGAGTTAAATTATCCGTTCTATTAAGGTTTGATTGTAGTTGGAGCATTGTTGTCATGACTAACGGCATCATCATCATCATCATCACAACCTTTTATCGTCATCACTGCAATCATCATCATCACCATCATCACCTTTATCATATTTATCATTACAATCATCTTCATCACTATCTCCCTTCAAATAATAACAATAATATTATTTACTGAAGTGGAGGTGGTCTAGTGGTGGAAATTTACCAAGCTGCAAATAATTGTTTTAGTATACTAAAACAATGAGATAATATCGAAGAAAAAAGTCATTTACTGCTGCCTGCGATTACAATTTTGGAGTGCAAGTGAGATTGGTGTTGCTCGCTTGGAGGAGCTGGTGGTGAATCAGTGAATAGCATTGGATATCCCGAGTTTGAGTAGCCAATCAGAGTGCACAAAAACACCATCCACAGTTTTAGTACATTTTTGTATTTATCATAATCTTAAACAAGCACCATTAACATCTTCACCCCCTTCATCATCATCCTAAGTCTTAAATATTTTCTTCTGCTGCAGGACAAGGAAGTGTCTTATGGAGCTCATGCACCCAGAATATTAGCCCTAGATGATTACTTCTTAATGGAGGTTGAGAAAACAGAAAAAGACCCAGACACAGGGAAGAAAATCAAGAAAAAGGTGCGAGCCTTAACCCTTTAAGCGTTAAGAGTGATCAGCATCAAATTTCTCCGTGTAATATCAATGCTTTGTAAAACACAGTGGTCATGAGAATTACGGACATGATCACACAAGATGAATTTGTTTGATTTGTTATCAACTTCTCCCCACTACTTCTGTAGGAAATGAATAGGGGCAACAAATGAGAATTCAAATTTTGATCTTAGGGTTTAGAGGGTTAAACCTTGTACAGTTGGACCTCTCCACTATGGCCACATTGGGGACAGAAGAAGGTGGCCATCGTAGAGGGGTGGCTGTTAGTGGATGTTTGACTGTAGTTATTTTTAACCAGAAATACAATGATTCATGTCTTGTAAGCGGCATTAAGCCATGTGAAACTGGACAAAAACTGTAGCGTGATATAATTAGAAGAAAACTAACTGTTAGTTATAAATTGTAGGTGTAGAAACCTCTTTTTACTACTCTATTGTAATATTACATGTTATTTAAACCCCTGTTTAATGATTAAAATTTGGGATGTTCAGTGCATCTTTATGGCAGTGCATGTCTTGTATCTCCTGGGAGACAAATGATGACCACAGAATTACAAGCATGGCTGAAATACAAGCTGGAAATAATCAAAATTTCCGAAAATAACGGAAAAAACAATCGAAATTTTATATCTTGTTTTGTTAGGTGACTGAATATGTTTATGAAGAAGAAATGGAGGAGGCTTACAGAAGTAGTTTGTTCAAATCTTTCACTAAAACTCTCGAAGATGGCTTCTTCCCTGTTGTTATTGTGGATGCGATTCATGATAAGGTAAGGTTTGGTTACCATGGTTTCTTAAATTCGCCAGCTAGTATCACCTTGTACAGCATAATAAACAGTATCAGATGAAAGTACTGCTTAATAGCTTTCATTTGAATGGTCACACCATAGGATTTCATCCACAGACTCAAAAGTTAGAATCACCTTGTACAGCTTAATAAACAGTACCACAGGAAAGTACTGCTCAGTGGCTTTTATTTGAATGGTCACACCATAGGATTTCATCCACAGACTCAAAACTCAAAAGTTAGAACCACCTTGTACAGCATAATAACCAGTACCACAGGAGAGTACTGCTCAGTAGGCTTCAATTGAATGGTAACACCATAGGATTTCATCCACAGACTCAGAAGTTAGAACCACCTTGTACAGCGTAATAAATAGTACCACAGGAAAGTGCTGCTCAGTAGCTTTCATTTGAATGGTCACACCATAGGATTTCATCCACAGACTCAAAACTCAAAAGTCAGAACCACCTTGTACAGCATAATAACCAGTACCACAGGAAAGTACTGCTCAGTAGGCTTCAATTGAATGGTAACACCATAGGATTTCATCCACAGACTCAAACGCTAGAAATTGTTATTGTGATTCCGTGATCAAGTTTGGGATGGTATGGTTTATTGTCAAATGAGGCTATTGGGTGAATTGATCACAGTGAAACGTCACTGGTATGGGCAGTTAGGATGTTGGTATTTTCATAGCAAAGCTATGAATAGGATTGTCCAGTTATACATGTACCAAGATTGAACAACATCGATTTTCTCCTAACAAAGATACATATTCAAAGGAAAAGGTTTTGAGACTTAACAAAACTGATCAGCAAAGTGAAAATGCTTTAATCTTTGTGAAATCTTTGGAAAATGTTTGGAGATCGGTCTGGAGAATTTGAATGTGGATCTTGGGGATTAAAGGGTTGGATGACTAGGTTCTTGTTGTTGTTCTCTTGTTGTTCCATTTATTTATTTATTTATTTATTTATTTATCCAGGGGCATCCAATTTAGCAGAGCTAGTTTAAATGGAGTCCTGACAAAACACAAAAACAAAGACATTAAAACATTAAAATTAGACAATTCAGTTAAGACAACATGTAACGCAGGTGTTACTGTTTAAAGTGGCGCTTTAGCTTGATTTTGAATTCACTGAGGGTCTGTACTTGTCTAATGATTCTCGGTAGGGCGTTGTAGGTCCGAGCACCGTTGATTCTGAAGGTACCATGGTATTTGGTAGTTTTTGCGAAGGGAGGGCGCAGCAAATCACGACTTCTGGTGTTCCAGATGCAAAACTTTTTAAATTCATCTTGTGGGTGATCTTTTGCGTCTTTAGGTTGAGCATTTTGAGAAATATTGGAGTCATGCAAAACAAAAGGGTTTCGAGGTAAGAATTCTGAAAGGTATTGTTTTAAAAGTACTCTTCAAGTAATCAGACAGAGATGTTTCTTTGACAATCGTGAGACCAAACAAAGGAAAGGACACTGTATCTTCACCAATTATCCGTCAAGAGGTAAATATGTAGGGCGCTTCAAATAATAAAAGTATTTGTTTTGTCTTGCAAAATATCGTCATGTCGCAACTTGAGTAGATAAGTCGTCTTTCACCCAGTCGCGTGTACGCTCTTGTGAAAATCAGTGTGCTGTGTAGCTGTCGACTTTTTGGTACAGCATTCTTTCCTTACCATTCAGTAAACCCAAGCCTAAGGCAAGATGTACTCCTATTAGTGCTGAAATCAGGACAGTTGATAGCCAATCAGATTTAAGAATAGTTATCATGATTTAAGCCGTAATCTGTGTGTTTTGTTACACAGGTGTATGTTGCTGAGTTAATGGCCGACGCGCATGATTGTGCTAAGCGGAACAGTCACAATCGCACCTTTGAGGAAATCAACAAGGTCAGTTCTTGATCTATATCAAACATGAGAGGAATTGTCTCATCTGATATCCAAACATCGAGAAGTAAGATATCGAACACGAGAAGAAGTGTTTCATTTGATATCCCAACACTGAGAAGTTATATATCAAACACGAGAAGGAGAGTGTTTCATCTGATATTCAAACATCGAAAAGTGGGTTAAAAAAGCTCTGGTATTCAACTGCTAAGTTTTGAGGGGCCGACATGTCTGGCCGTGAGAAGGTCCAAGATCCCTGTCAAGGAATGAGCAGAGGCTTCTTTAGCAAAATTTTGTGCCCCCATTTGATGCGCCGAAGTAACTTGCAGAAGTAGTGTTTTACAAGGCGATACCTGCAATACCAGAAAGTAAGATCTTTTGTTAAGGAAACTGTTGTTATATTTCAGATGATATCGGCTTGGGAGGAGACTCCAGTTCATCATCTAAGACTTGATGTAAGATCATTGCTGCAAGATGCTGTTATTACCGAGGTTCGTGCTCACCATAAACGCCTGACGTTTGTAATTGTAATGAAAACATATCGCACGATGCAGACAGTCAATTTGCTCGGAAGTTGATTTGTCGACAGCGAATGGCCTGGAATTGAAATGGAACGTGAATTTCCCTGATAATAAACCGTGTCACATCGCCTTTTTCGAGCAGGAACTAGTTAATTCTGCGCATAAAAACAACGGCCCAATGTGAAAGACAACTAGTTTTATAGTTTTCGTTCTTAAAACGCCTTTACCAAAGGTTCAAGTGTTTTAAGTATAAAAAATTGTTCACAGTGCACAGTAATAGGAATAGTCGTTCATTATTACTTCATTCCGTGATTTTTTATTTAACACAACAAAAAACTTCAGTTAATTCACGTACAGAGGTGGTATTTGCCACCTTTTGATTACACATTTTGTAATGTGGCCCGCTCAAATACTTTTGGCGGGAAACGGTGTTGTTTTTAGACGACATGTGACCTCGAAGTAGTAGCCAATGAGAACGCGCGCTATATAACATTAACCAATCACTTTTGGTTCCTTTTGGTTAAGGTTGAGATGGAGACAGCAGATGAAACCGCTGATGGAGCTGAGGCAGGAACGCAGGCACAAGAGCAGACAGCACAGGAGGACCAAGGGGAGGTAGGAAAAATAACGTAAAACTAAAAGAAAAATATTACATTGCAGCGTTAAAATACCACGGGATAAAGGCATGCAAGGTTAAGGTAGGATGGTAAATAAATTTTAGTAAATAAGTCAAACTGTAAAATTAAAAAAACTGATATTGACTTTCATTAAGCCACATAAAAAATAACAACATGTTGAAAATAGAACATCAGAGATAAGAACTTTGCCACCCAAAACTATGTTTTGGGGCGCAAAAGTAAAAGTTGAAAAGATAACGATCTTCTAAATGGCAAAGAAGTTAGACTCCGTACAAGGGTGGTATACAATGCATGATACATTCATTCTTGACGGTTGAAAAAGAAATGAAAAAAAAATTGAAATAATAACAAAAAAGGAAGAAAGAAAAAGCAGCCTAAGAAATATAAATACAAGCTGGCTGTTTTAGTTCATCACGTCAGGAAAAAAAGCTCAAAAGCGCAAAAGCCTTAAATTTCAGTGAAAGACATTTTGCTGTAAAAGGTTGATTATTGTGACAAGAAATAAAAACCTGTGTCTAAACCAGAAGAAAAAGTAAAATACATCAAAGATACCCCCCCTCCCCCTTCCCCTTTCCTTCTCCTCAATAAAGAAACCATTTTTAAGAAGGTTGACCAAATGAGCCCGAATCTGACCCTTTCTCCCCAATTCCCAAAATGATTCCCCGAATAAGCGACAGGCCAATTTCACTAAAAGCCCTGCCGCAGTTTCCCGATTAATCCCCAACGCCATACCCGAACAAATAATAACTTAATTCCAAGAACCTATCCCGGAAACAGTTCCCATGCAGAGAAAACTGTAACACAATTCCTGCAACAACTCCCAACAAAATCCCCCCAATACCTCATTAGCTGTATTTTGTTTGTATTGGCCTCGTATAGTTCCTTTTCACTGGGTCTGTTAATTATTTCAGATCAGTGTAGGTTTCTGAGCACCTCCCCCTCCCTTAAGCCAACATTTGCCCTAAGTGAGAAGTAAGGGCAAATGTTGGCTTAGGGAAGGGGTAGGTGGGCAGTTTCCCGGAAACCTAAATTGATCCATCATTTCAGCCTAAGATACAGGTGCCTTCACGCAGCAAATGGGAAGACATAGAGCCAGCGGAAGACAAACTGAGTAAGTAACCCTTCATGTAGTATTGCACCAAAACACTAACTGAACTTGTTTCTAAGCAGCACGTTAGTATCAAAGGATTTATAGCTCACTGACAAAGTTGAAGGTAGGTTAACCGAAAGTGGTGAGAATTTGTCCAGCTGCTCTTGACGCCAGAAATAGGACTGACGTTTTGTTGACGTGTTGGTGGCATCCCCGCGTTACAGTGAGTTTTTTGTTTACAAGTCTTTATCGCCCATTTGCTAGATAAACTGGATGGCATTCGGCCAATGAAAAGAAAAGAGAAGAGTCGCCTCCGTTCCTCCCTAGTGACGATGACGACCCTTATGACGAACGCGAAGAGGACATGCGCATTGGCAAGAAGAGGGTAATAATGATAATAATAATAATAATAATAATAATAATAATAATAATAATAATAATAATGGTTTAATATCAGTACATCCATGGTATGGCTCTTCGCCCGATATAAGAGTAAAATAAGGAAATAAAAAAGTAAAAAAATAAAAATACATAAATCTGAATTATGAATTTGTAAAAAGCTAGGTAATAAACAGTAAAATGTAATTATACAATATATACATTATTTAAAACTAGGCAAGAAATTATTCCGCCCTAAAGTTCTGATTGTGATACCTAATCAGCACTTTCGCACAAAACATTTCTGAAGATGTTAATTAAGTAATTTATTTATCTGCAGAGTTTTAGCGAGGCAAGGTTGAACGCGACTGACACCTGAGAAAGCTCTCAATATTAATGTTCGCGAGGCCTGGAGGGAGGGCTGTTACCAGTTTTATGATGTTGAGTTTATAGGAACTGTATCTCCAACTTTATCAGAGTTCAAACAGTGGTAACGGGCAACAAACTGAGCAAAACATAGAAATGATAGCTAAAAACATGAAAAAAAAGGTAGAAAGAACACAGCAAATACAAAAAGAGGCACGAAAAAAGATTGAAGCGGATTGGAAATTGTGGTTTTCGAAAACGTATTAGCCTAACAGGTTTTCAAAGTTCATGTTTGTTGTTTGTAACGTTTGATATAATGCTTGAAAGACGTATTTGTTTGACTCGAAACTGCGATTTTGTAGTTGATAGGGGCGTAGCCAGCTTTTGAAATGGTTGTAGGCTTGACTGACTTTCATTTCCACATATCCTGAAAATTGCACGCATGACCAGTACGCAGGGACCTCAACAACACTTTGAGCTCAGAAGCTTTTTATCTCACCCCAACAACATTATTTATTACAAGCGGTAGAGTGATCAAACCAAAAATTTGAAGGTCCCCTTGCAACTCAACTTGATCATGTAAAAAGGAACATTGTAATATTATCATACCTGCCAACTTTTTCTAAGTCAAATGCGTGAGGGTTTCGTCTTGTCGTTACCGGAATTTCCGAACATTTCCGACGATTTTCCGAAGACGTCCGAACGTTGCCGAAAATGTCCGAAGATGCTACGAATAAGTTCTCGTAATTTGCGTTATTAACAAAACCGTGACACTTGCAGTCCCTTTGATATTCACTTGTCATTACTTGTTTGTGTTGTTCAGGTTCGGTGGGCGGATCTGGAGGAAAAGAAGGTACTCGAACACAGAAGAAGAATCGGCTTTTGCATAGGTACCGACTGGAGCTTGTTAACGGATCCGAACGCTGAAATCCCGCGTATGTAGCGATTTAATAGTATGGTGAGTTTTAAACCTATTCCTGGCCGTCCACTGGGCGCTCGCCACGAAGGAATTGGATTATCATTTGTAATTTGCGTGGTCTTTCATGTTCAGTTGTTGTTAAGGAGCGATTAAGGATCGCAAATGATACAACTTGTGCGACAATGGGTGTGGTATTTTTTTCCTGTCAGTGGAATATTGCACTTACAAATAAAGAAGGACTAAACATGGTCCTTCGAGCCTGATAAGCAACATCAGATTATTCTAGCTCACAGAACGAATTCGGTACACAATACTACTTTAAGTCACGCGTCTTTGTTTTCTGTCGTTGGAGGGATATGAAAACATTTGAAGCTGAAAAAAAAAAAAAAGGAAACAGTTTTATCACACAAGTTTACAGCTAGAATGAAATTTTTCTTTTCTGTCCTTACAACTAACTTTAATTTTGTTTCCTCCACGTTTAGGTTCCTCAGAAGTTCCGGCAAGACAACGGCCTTCTGAACAGTTGCAAGGCGAGAAAAAACAAGACAATTTGCGATGGGATTTTTTTATTTAACTTTTACTCAAAGAGTGCCCCCAATCAACACATTGAAGAGAAATTCAAAATTTCAGGTTATTAAATAGTAACAAAATAAATAGGACCATGTGAATGTACTACGAAGTAGCTTTCACTTGAATCGTTGCACCAAAAGATTTCATCCACAGACTCAAAAGTTAGAGCTCCATGCATTACATGACAACATAATTCACCCTAGAGAAAAGGTTAAAACTCTATCGTTCTCCCTGAAGCTGAACTCTAAGGCCTAATTCTACAATTCATTCCAATACTACATTTCGTTTTGTTCAACGTATTTGTACAAATTTTTATGTCGTTAGTAGTTAAATGCAAAGCATGGAAGTGCAGTTCCTGTGGAATTATAAAAAATCGTTGCTAGGTTCTAGGAATAAATTAAATACATATGTTGTATCCGCTGGATTCTGTGGTTTAACCACAGATTTTGAGTGTTTTGAATGAGGTTTATGTGTGTTACAAAACTCAAACCCAATTTTCAGCCTTGTGGTTTTTGATCAACAAGGAGAAAAAAACACATTTAAATATTGATGAGGACATTAAAATTACAGTCTGCACCTGTTGGCAATAATCCATCAACAACACGAAGAAACAAAGGCCATCGTTTTCGTTTTACTACATCATAAAATTAAAAATAAAGTAAGGCTCAACAAAGGAGTCCTCGAATGGTTCGAAACAAAAGTCAGACTTTCTCACTGAGCGAAAGAAAAACGTTGCTCCAAGCGTAAAAGACCATTGCAGAAGTTCAAATTAAATTTGTACCTTTTAAATTTTGTGGTCAAGTAATTTGGTTCGTGAAAGCAAATGGTTTCTTTTTTCCCAAACACGGCGTTTTTTGTTTCCTCAAACGAATTTCCCCGGCATTTTTGTCGTGTTTTGCAGGACGATGAGTAGATAGTCGCGCTCCGGCGCGAGCATGATTTCAAACTTCTTTGTTCGAATCCGGAAGAACTGAAGATCGTCCGTTGGATCAGTCTCTCGTATTGTTCCCCTGGCGATCGCCGTTAACGAGCTGCACTGCCTAATGTAGTATGCCGTCTCCATAGCGTCTAATGTGCTATGGACGGGCTGTCCATCTCGGTCCATTATAATCACGCCAACCACGTTTGGATGTTCTTCAATTCGTTTCAGCGTGTCTTTAACTTCACTCGGAGCGCGTTCGGCCATTGTCGAGATAGCAGCCTATTTAAAATGCAAGCAAAATCAAATTATTACTTTCTCGTTTCTGTACGCGAAGACAGGTGAAATGTATAAGAAATGACTCACGGCAGCTTAAATTTCGCTCGCATTTGTTTCCGTAAGGGTTATAAAAATACCGTACCTCTTACTGGATTCTTCTTGAAATTATCCTGTGTTTAATATCAACTGGTTTTCTATCCGTTATCGCAAACTCGTCAAAAAGAAAAATTGCCCGGGCAAATAAACCTTGTCCTTGCCTCTGACGCTTAAAGTCGCTGATATGTTGAGCAAGATTTGCTTGTCAAACTCGTCAATGTTTTGATTGTGCTGCTCTTAAGAGCATCCTAAGATTAGCAACACTGCGATTCGATTATGCTCTAACTAAATTTGCATTATATGCTGTGTTTTCTATCACGTTTCCAAGGGTTGCATATATTATGATTGGTTATGAAAGAAGGTGCAAATTACTTTCGATCTTCCACTTATTGATTTTCAAAAGAAAGAAGAAAGATTAATACTTTCTTTCTGTATTTTACAGTCTCTTGTGTTAATTCGTTTCGAAAACGTAACGCGTTTTGCTTTCGTAGAATTTTTTCAGAACGTGATATACTGATCTACGAGGCCTATGCAAATTTACAGAGGAATTTCGTGCCTCTCAGCCAGTCGAAAGTCACTTGAAATTGTAAGTCGAGAGTTTATTTCCCGTAAAGCAAGTGAAAATAATTACAGTTCGGGTCGCGAAAGCAAACATTTCTGTTTCCCTCCTCAAATAAGTTTGATTTGCTCGTGGCATGAAAATTAACGTACTCAACTCGCTAAAAGCGCTTCTGCTACGTTGTTTGGTCAGGAATCATTTATTATGTGATTTGCTGTTACTTGTATATTTATTTCGGCCAGTCGCTTTACTTGCTGAAAGAGTGGAATATAATTTGTCGGTAAATCGATGTGTTTTTGAACGGCGTACAAGCTGAGTCAATATTGTCACTTGCGGTTTCTCTGCTTTGGGCAGTTTGTTTTGATGCCACTTTGTTTTCAAGGGGAAATTTTTCTTTTTTTTTGTTCCCTGAAATGCGACCAATATGAAGCAATTTGTCTTTTCTATGCTTTGCTTTACTTGCTCTTGCGAATGCCTTTCGGATTTGCTGTCGTAATTCACACCTCGCTTATCACCGGTGACTTTTCCTTCTATTTTAGTGCCTACTATTGGAAAAAGGCGCAGAAATTTAACGTTTCTTTACATGCTCTTTTGAACGAGCTTGTGAATTTCTCTCTCGTTCCACCACGGTTTCATCGACTTGTCTGAGTTTATCAAACTCATCTTACCACCACGCCCCACCCTTCCCCCCTGGGTGGGATGTTGGCACTTAACAGGTGCACTCTCCCCTTGAAATTTACTTCGTTGTCATGTGAACTCAACGATCCACGTGGCGTAACGCGAAGAGTCGTCTTGTCTACGAACATAAACAGCAAAATTGAACCACTTATAATAAGTGGAAACGAGTTAAACGGAAACGAAATTGCGGGCGAGAAAAATGAAAAGAAAAGGCCGACGTAAACACTTCCAGTTGTTAAGGCTATTTATTATAAACGGCAGAATTAAGAAGATAACAAGCTACCAGACGCTTGATTATCTTGTCCAATCACAAACACTTTGGGGAAAAGTAGGTGACAATGATTGCTAAGAAAAACACAAGTATCGTACAAAGACTAAAGCGATTATTGCCAAGACTATAATTGTTATGTCTACGATTGAGTCTGGGGGAAATACAAAACAATAACTTACAAAGAAAATTATTTATTTCGAGACGTAACAATTCAAACTTGGCTCGCACGTCTTTTAACATTCTTCACTCAACAAAGAACGTTGTTGACGAAGTTTGGAATGGGTATCCTAAGCAAAGGACTGCGAACGATGATGCAGTTTCAACGTTCCGGATCTTGAAATTTTCTGATTTCGTTGGCGGATGATTTAAGCGAAAGAAATATAAGGTACTTGTTGCTCCCGCCTTTCCGAAATCCGCACGGCAATCCATTTGATTAGAATCTCTGGAAATCTCGACATGCGAACGAATGTTACGGAAATTTTCCGGAAAATCTGAGAACTGTCAAGTTCTTAAAACGCGAACCAACCAACCGAAAATTCTGAAGATGCGGAACAGTACGGTAATTTTAGCTCAAGGGGTGTTTCTCTTTTTCCGAAAATTCTGAAAACCGTTCCAGTCCATTCGTTGAACTTTCGGAATTTTATCCTGTCTGTTCAGTTGTTGCTCTATCTTTACATGCCCCAATGGAAATTTCTATTTGTTTCCAAAACATAAAGGACCGGTTATGTAAACGGGTATTGGCCAGTGTGTGACAAATCCGCTTCCTAAGCCACTTTCAATTTGGCCAGCCGTAATGTCTAAACACTGCGTACCATAAACAATGTTGAGAAGATATTTGGTGCAGTCTGGGAAAACAATTATCTAGCTACCATAACCCTCGTATAAACTACGGATTATCCGCTAAGCCTGTCGTCTATTTGCAGGTTAGACTTCCTTTGAATAACCGCTTTATTAGAGAATAAAATTTTCTGAGTCTAATGTTTATGGATGAGCTCGCCGAATGACCAGTTATTATGCGTAAGAAAATCGCGCAAGTAACATTAAGGAAAAGGAACTTTTTGCTTCAAATCTTGAAACTCAATTCGTTGTTTTTCTTTCTTTCAATAGAACCTGAAAGATTGTTCGGTTTGCCGTTGTTCGAAGCTTGTGGATAGTATCTCGAAGGTTAAACAAACTCGTTGTTTTACTGACGTAACTGGAAAGGATTCGTGTGGATACAAAAGGTTTTAGCTTGTTTTCAGGTAAAACACACTGCTTAAAAGATACTTACGACCGCTTGGAAATCGTTGAATTATTTTCTCGGCTGTTCGTCGAAATGTAAGTTGATATAGCCTCCCTTGCAGACGTCCTTAGGAATAGTCAAACGCTTCCTTTTTTTATGGTAAAGAGGTACTCGAATGCCCAGTTAGAGAACAATCCGTGTGTGCCTCGTTTCAGTTACCGCATCGGGGAGTTTACGTTGTTCTGTTCTTTCACATGGCCGCTAACAAAGCGCCTTCGCTGAGCCAAATTACCTGTGAAAATAGCTTTTTGTGCGAAAGCAATTTCTATCCGACAGTTTAGCCGGCCAGCTCGTGTCTAAAAAAACGAGGAAACGGCTTATGAAGCAAAAAGCCCTGCAGTCACGTGATATGGCCGCTCGTTCAACTCTGGCCTAGTTTCCAGGGATCAAAATTTCGACAGGAGCGGGACAAGAGAAAACACAGCGCGCATCCCTTGAATGGGCGCAAATTACATCGAGGAATGTAGTAGGGTATCCACCTAACGTTTGTGTTCTTCCAACATCTTGCGTGGTTGAATTAATGGATTTAGAATAGAGTTTATAAATCTTGCTATTTCCTTCATGGGTATTGTTTAGTTCACAAAGGCAGGTAAGTGATCGAAACTCTCCCGGGTTTTAAATGGCCAAAAAGGTCAATAATGTCTATGCAAACTTCCCCGTCAATCGTTGGTGTCCGTCGTCTTTATAAAGCCTCCTCCCCCGGCCCCTTGAATTGCAGTTGTTTGTAATAAATTACCCCCACCCCCCCGTCCCGCGGGTTTCTTAGAATTCAGTATTATTTCACGAAGGGAAATGAATTTCACCAAATGTCTTTGAATGTTATCAAAACACGGCTAAATTTGAAATTCGATTTTCTGGGCCATAATAATTCGAAAGAAGGAAACTAAGGATCAGTAGGTAACCTTTCGAAATCGGCCTCAAAATACGGTTGTAAGTCCTCCTTCAATTCTCGTTTTCACTGAACAACAAGTTCAGCGTCTAACAAGTGGATAGTGTGCGAAGAGAATAGAGACAATTTTTGCCTCACGCGCGCTTGCTATGACTGCAGACTCAGTTTTACGCCGATCGCGCTTTGTCTTTGAAGAACCAGGTGAAAAACAAGTAATTATAATAACTGACATCCGGCATGAGGTTTTAATGAGATGTGCTACAAGTTCAGATGTAAGCCTAAAAGTCAGACTTAACTTTCGGCTGGAGAAACTCAGGCGAGTTATTTGACCAAAGCAAGGGAAAGTTTGTACTTGTAACCAGATGTTTAAAAACATCTGGTTCATGGTTAACAGGCCATGAAACAAGGCTTTATATGGTGACAATGTCCTTAAACGGACCCACTCTGTCTTTTACAGGATTCGTTGTCCAAGTTAAGTCACTTCAATTTTATTATGATCCCCCTTGTGTCGTGATTGCTGCATATTTGTGTGCATGAAGAACAAACAGGGTGTGCATGTTTTCCGGCTTTCCATATGGGTGCATAATTCTGCCTGCCCTGGCAATTGCCGAGAGTTATATACCGACTTATTAGTTAATCGAGAGTGAGGCCATTACAGGGAGTTAGCGAGGTCAATACATCAAGGCCGAGGTCTGAGATTTCCCTGTAATGACCGAAAGGACGAGGTTAATAAGTGATTTATTATGTGGCCTGTTCAGCGCTATTCTTAAAATGAATACAATAAAAAACAACGGAAATAATTTTCAACATCCGCGCGAAAGAGGTCATTCGAGGTCGTGTTCATCGAACCGACACGAAGTTGCGGTGCGATCGAAACAAAAAGACACTGTTTCTTACACAATGAGATATTTTGGAGCTGAGTTCGCGGTCAATTAAAAATCGGTCAGCGGATAACATAAAGAACACGTCACCTCAATGAGTTAACACTTGAGCCCGCGATACAGTCATGTGACACTGGTCAACAGATAGCTTTTTATGACAGCTGCCAATTGAGCATAATATGGATGTCCAGTGTCAAGTTTTGTGTTTAAAAACATGGGTTGTATGCTTTGGACACCTAGCTACTAATGCGCGGTAATTACAAGAAAATCTTGGCTTAGCAGCCAATCAGAGCGCGCGTACTATTGTAGTAATATAAATAATAGATTACAAACTTTCAAAATCATCATTATAAACTCTTTCATTGCTTGAAAGTTCAGTGTTCCTGATATATACACAATGCACTGGTTAATTCTAAACTTCAACACATCCCTGCGGGTATTTGAACTTTTGAAGACGGAACTGTTCAAATTCCCGTTCCCTGCGCCAAAATTGGTTCTAAACTTCCAGCACCCCCTGGTCAGAATAATCGGTCAAATGTCCCTACCCCTTTATCTCCCACGATAAAAATATATCGGAATTACGAAGTTAATAAGCAAAACAGTATTTACCTCATAATTCAGTGCAGCTTTTGCAGTCCATACGTCTGTAGTCATGATGTAACCAAGGAGCACAGTTTCCTCATAAAATGCCCCCAGATTTCCCCTCTCTGCATCTGCATCCAGGTTCCATAACCGATTTTGAATTAAATTATACCCCGGAAGTTTTAGTTTTCTAAAGCCTTTTTACAGGGGCTGTTGTACAGAGTCACACTTGTTAAGGCAGTTTAATACTTCAAATGCAACGCCAATCTTTGCATTGAGAATTGGATTCGGTACAAGCACAGACAGCACAGTAACTAACCATGATAACTGCTGATAGTGCCCGCAATATATTAGGAGAAACCCCATTTGTCATGATTTGGTCGTTAGTTACGGGGTTTTTTTTCGCAGTCACTACAGCAGTTCATACGGCAGCTCAGAGGACATAAAAATCGGTCTTGTGAGAGACAACTCACATCCGGGCTTTTCTCGTTTAGTTCCAACGTGTTTGATTTAGCTTGAGAATCAGAACAATTCCCAAAATGAGATTTAAGCCACGTGGGGTGGGGGTGGTGGGGCTAATTATAGATCTAAGGCTCTTTTGCGAATGGGATTTTGGGGTACTTGAGAGGCCTATAAACATAGGGGTTTATTTTCGGAATGTTAAAGATCTTCACCTTGCCCACATAGTGACCAATTTTTCGCCCCAATGCTAACTACTATTGTCAAATTCCCCGTTCTCGCCAGCCTTACATACACATAGCCTGGGCACATGAGCGGTTCGTGCTTTCCAGAGCAATATTGGTTTTTTCGGGATTGGCTAGGGACCTAATCTGGCGCACCTTTGAGACTTTTCAGAACCTACGTTATAAACGGCTAAAACTTCCTATCGAGATTTCTCTTGAAGAGAAAATTGAAGGAATATGGAATTTATGTGTGATCAAGAACTCATTGCCCCAATCGCCCTCTTTCGGGCTTAAGTGTTTCAGTACTCGGGGATGAGTTATGGTATAAATGTCAACCGAAATTTTGCGAGGCAGCGTAGTGCTATCCCGCGAACGAGACGATTTCGTTAAAAAATAACATAGCCTTGAGAGAATGATTTTCGGTGCATTCTGTTCTGGCATAACGTTAACACAGGCCTGTTATAAGACCCTCTATATTCTGTTTAGAGACCGTCGAGCGCTCGTATGAACAATTGAACAATTGCAAACAAAATAGAGGCCTTTGCAAGAGCTGCGCAACGAGGTACCACCTCAAGGCACAGTTGGATAATCAGTACCTTCACGCGTTTTTCGCGCTTTTCCCGCTTCCCTACGAGGAAACAGAAACGATCGCTACGAAGACTAAGCAACCGAAGACTAAGAGAAACTTTCATAGAACCGTTTGCTTTCGTCCTTAGGATTTTCTCGTGTTCTTTTTGTGTGTTTGCGCTCTTTTTTCAGGCACCTTGCGCTGTTTTCGGTGCGTTTTTCATCCCGGCCTCCATTCCAAGCACTTGGGACGCAAATGAGGTGATGCTACAAGCTTTGGCATCTTTCCTTGATACTTTCCACTGTACGCAAAACTTAACTTGTCGCAAAAGAGGCACCGTTGTTAACACAGGGACGCTAGTACTCACATGGGCATCAAACGAGTTCTTTCGTCAGTTGTTCGGTTTCCCAGTTGGATTAAAGCTCTCCACCGAAAATATAAATGGCTTTCTTAGACTCGTAAAAGGGAGCGTTCAACCGGCTTGGCAAACTGTGTAAAATAGTTTGTTTTGTTTTCAAAAGGTCCGGGCAAAAATATCAGAAACGAATCGTAAATGAGACCTTATAGTCTTGCCCGTCGAATTTTCCGCCATCGACGTTTGATTCGCGCATAGTAGTCATACGCATTTTTGTATGTCCTAGACATGTGGTACTCTTCCGAATACTAGTAAATACTATTTATTTACACGTATTGATGAATAAGTTCTTTCGATCTCAGGTGATTTTCCTGACAACAAGTAATGACAAGTGCATTTTTGTCTTTGTTCTTATTCGATAGTCCTGCCGATAGCGCAAGCAGTTTACGGAGAAAAGCAGCAGTGGTGCGCGTCTCACGAGGCATCAGGAGCCTGGGGCAAGTGCCCAAGATCTATTGACAGTTTTCTCCACGAGTGAGGCTGTGTGTTTTCACCAATGTGGTGTTGGAAAGAAATCATCTGTAATCTACTGACATGGGATTCACAAAACGCACAGTGGTCTGGGAAGTGCGGCTGCGTAGTTGATGAGCATCGTGAAAATACGTACTCTTTTTATCTCTTTTGAAGATAGGTTTTTCTTAGAATTTTTCTCCCCTTTCTTTTAGAAACTAAGAAGCATAATATTCCGGCTCTTAAATTTGGTGTGCGAAATTTTGAGGTATCACGAAGCCATTTTCGACGCTAGAGAGAGTGAAAAAGAGAGTTCAAGATCACTAATAGTTTTTATGATTATAGTTTGACAAGAATAGTGGTTTAGTTTTCTGCGCAGCGGGCGGAACGTCACGCACTGCCCCTTATGTAATCCTGCAGGTTTTATCCAAACTTTGTTTGCTATTTTTTTTGAACAATGTTTTGTTTTACTTCAGTTTTCTCTTTGGTAGCATTTGGTGACATGACAAAAAAATAAGTAAGCGGTGTTTTGAAATGACACCTCTTTCAAGGAATTTTGCTCACGTGTCTTATCAACAGCTTGCCGCGGGTGGTTCAACTCCACCGCCACTGAAGGTCTCGTCAAGTTAGTTTACGGGTATTCTTTTCAATCACTTTGGCTCCAAGAGCGACCTTTTAAAGGCGCCGTACAGCGAAGAATCTTCTTGGGAGCTGACACAACGTGAAGACATGAAGAGAAGTGCGGTATTTTCAAGTATCAACCACCTTCTCCAGGTGCGGATCCAGAAATTTTTGATCGGGGTGGGGGGGGTCCAAACTTTGGTTCAGAAAGGACTGGTCAAAACTTTGGTTTAGAAAGGACTTTTCCCCCAAACACCACCCCCATCCCTCCCGGTTGCGCGGTTACGTTATAATTTTATGGCCCTTTACCTTTTACGGATGCACCCGTAAAGGATACACCCTTGGAACATCCTCCTCTGTGAGCGCCGGTCGCCGTTCGCGCGGGAAGTACTGCTTTGCGAGCAGAGGAGAGTACCCAAAAACAATCACATTTTTTAATATCCCAGGAATTTTGTTTAGTGGCAAAATGCAACGCGCGTTTCATTGAAAAAATCAGCCAGTTAAAAAGTGATATACGATCCTGTCCATGTAAGAATTTCAATCTCGAACAAGCGTCAGGTCTGGAAGGGAGGATCCGAAGCCCCCCCGGGCCCTCCCCCCGGATCCGTCACTGAATTCGCGATACCTCACTAACAGGCGTCAATACTTCAAGTTCAGTAGGGAGTATGACGGATCCCACGTTAGCCACGGGGGTAAAAACGTCGCTTAAAAAGTGAGTTCGGGCTGTTTCAATCTTTATCGCCATCATTCCAAATTGCTTACTGTACTCTCCTGAAGTTGAAGTCGTGTGATGGCTGGCTCCGCGCCGCAAATAATTTATATAAAAAGTGTAATGCATTTGCAAAGTTTTCCAAGTTTTGTGTTTTACCAGCCCTATTTACCTGACCATGAGTGAGATTTTCCTTATCCTCTTTCCCTTATCATCTTTCCTGTATTTTCTGTAAATAAAATGTGGCCGTTTTTTTCACTTCAGTGTCGTGCCTGACACCGAATTTGGGGCTCTTCGAAAAATACGCCTTTAGAATTTGCCAAGGATGACCAAAATGGATAAAATGAGTGTATCTGACATTCTGTCTATAACACTGGCATAATAAGCTGGTAAAAATATATACATCTAAATACTTACGGTAGTTTGATAACACCACAGCGCGCCATGATCTCCAACGTATTGTTGAGCGTAGAACTGAACTATTGTTGGTTTAATTTTGCAAAACAACAACAGCTTTGCACGTGCACCACGTGTCGTCACTGCACGACTTCGACGTGAAAATGCCTAATTAATGGCGGGCGTAAACAACTGACGAGGAATTTTTTTTTCTCTTTCTGAACTTGGATATGTTTCTCAGGAATTCGACTCCTACATCTGACAAAGTCTGCGAGTTGGAATAATTTAGAAAAAAATTGAAAGGTCGCAAGTTCAAATTTTTATGAAAAATGAAGTTTTCACCGCTACCCCCTTAAACTTCCGGTTACAGTTCAAGACGTTTCCACAGTCCTTGCTTAAGGTTCTCAATAGCCGAACAAAACCTCTTTCTGAATTCCCCCTTTCCTTATCACCTTTGTGTAGCACGTCGTTAAATTATAAGAATTGCGTTAAGAAAATTGTTTCCAGCACGTCCGCCGTATTGGTTCAAGCGGCGGCCATGTTGTTCCAAACTAATTCCTGTCTAGGTCCCGTATGAGGAAAAAGTTTCGGCACGGAAAGAATATGAGACTAAGATACAGATTTAGCCAGGGCTAAAAGCGAAGCTCTCGTTGATATACTTATAGTTAACTCTTGCAAAAAATATAACATTGTCGCGTTAAATGAAAACGGCAACGAGAACAGCAAGAAAACAAACAAACAAACACAAGGTCTAATTAGCAGAAAAATCAACTTTGCAGGTGCACACTTTTTTGATTACTTTGCTCTTGTTTCGCACGACTACAACGTGAAACGTGTTTTTGTTCCCTCTTTTTTTTCTTTTTCACTTCCGCTCATTTTCACCGTGGTGGCCGCTAGCATTCCTCACTTACTCACTGCCGCTATAAAATTTTCATGTTTTTCTTCCAGCGAAATTCGTTCTATTTTGTTTATTATCTCTCGCTCAAGCTCTTTCTCGGTTATCCACGTTGGTGTACGCATTAAAATTTAGTCGAAAAAAAGACTCGGCTTTGTTGCTGTTTCTTCTTTCACCCCAGTTTACATAAAGGGGTGGACGTACGCACGTACGATTTTGTCCGAGGAAAAATTTATTGGATGCATAGATAACCAGATTTTCTTACCCACGGTTCAGACTATAATAGTACAAGTGTCTTTGGAAGTCCCTGTTGTGACAATGGCCTGTGGAATGTCTGCACGCCCACTCTGGACCAGAATCTGGTTTCCAACGTCCACATAACTGTGGAAAATTCTAAACACGAGGGTCATGCGGCCTACAGCCGCACGTGAATTGCATGAGTAGCTCGCTCTTTTCGCCTCATAGTTAAAGAACAAGCCATATTATATATTAATAGTACTGCGTACTTTTTTCGCCTCATGACTTTCAGTCTTTGTGTAGAGTAATTGTTTTCCTTCAATAAAGAACGGTTTGATTTATTGATTTTACCATAACAAATCAATACGATGACAGAGGAAGAAACAGTCTGTCACAATTGATATCCACCCTTAAATTGTCCACCCAGCCCAGTGTCAAGTCCGTTTTTGAACAGCATTGTGGGTTCTTTCACGTCCCACAATTCCAAGAGTTCGATCAGTGAAAGTGCTGTGAGACCATGCAGGGGTTAATTTAATATAACTTTTTCAACTGTAATTTACAAGTGTAGCTATTGTTTTCAGTCTCCAAAACAATGGGTACACTTGTGCATTACACTTGTAAAAGTTTCATTAAATTGACCTCAGGCCTGTGGTTTTCGTTGCTGGAAATCAAACCCAGGCCCACCACTTTATAATCCACCCAACGAGCTAGCCAATGTATGTAGATCAGCGTTAACCTGTTTTATGATGGTATGTCCCCGCGCGACTAACTTCCCCGTTTTGCGTGCAAATGTTCCACCGCTTTTCAGTCCCCGCACGCTTGAAGTATCTGCGTCGCTCGCGCTGGGTGAGTTAGAACAACTGTTACAAAGACAGACCGTCTGTATAGGGCCGGATCCAGTCGATCCGCCATGAAATCAAACACCTTAATAGTAGCATTTATCTTTCTGAAACAGATCGAGGCGTCTTCTGCCCGATTTCGGTTCTGGTGGTGATCCATGTTAGAGTTTGAGGACATATATGCGCGCAAACAAAATGTGTTTACCATCTCCATAAACTACGTACCAGTATGATGGTTTTTAAACTGAGATTTATAACTTTGTGCTCAATAAATGTAAAGTAAACAGTTCATTTCAGTATCTAACAAGCAGAATAATTATAATTTATGACATGAATTTTGTAAAAGGAGTTCAGATTACATGAAGCTTAAAACTTGAAAAACATTACAGATAATTGAAAAGCACCATAGCTGATTACATTTCAACTCTTATATTTAAAGATCATGTTTTGGGGTTTAGCTGACAGAGAGATGTAGCTTTAAGTATTTTTTCTCCAAGGGAGGGTTTGCATACAATCACTCCAATAGCTAATAGCCTGTGTGCAAGCTCTCCATTTGGGGTCTATCACGAGAAGGAATGCGCGAGCGGCCCATGGAAGGAGATAAATTGCGGTCGCTTCGCCCGAAGGCATTCCCCAGGACGTTAGTCGAGTCACCCAATGACATACAACACTCTACAACATGGTGAACCTACTTCTCCGAGATGTTACTTTAGTTAACCTTGGATTCCACATGTGCAGTCAATGTCTTTCCATGCTCATTCCTTTTTCTCACACTACAAATACACATCGGGCGAATCTACTTAGACTTGGCGAACTGCCATAGGGCGAATCGACCCGATACCAAGGAGACACCACTTGGGGCTTCATCGATCAGTTGTGTGTTCTCTCACAGCTTGCTTCGCTCGCCTCTCACAATAGAGGTCTTGTTCACAGGCTACAGCCATTGCAGAAGTCATAACAACCACAGGCTAACCAGGCTTAATTTAAAAACTGAAGAAATCTGCTGAGGTGGCAGTACCTTGGAGGAGTCATCTACTTGGCTAAGGCGATTATTCCAGCAACACCTGGAATGTTACAAAATAAACTGTATTAGAACCCAAGGACAATACTACGCTAAACTAGATTAAATTACCTAGAAAACACCAAGTGGTCATCATGGAATACAAACAAGACACACAATGCCTTGTGGGTCATACATCTAGCACATTGATTGGGCTTTGCCACAGGCAGCCCAATAATAAAGTAGGCATCAAAATCACATGAATGAGTAAAGGTTTGGGGGTTGTACAATCGCCATTTAAGACAAAGTCAGATGAAAGGATGATCATCAAAGTGTAGCCTGTATGTTAGTGACAATTGACCCTTTAAGCCCCAATATCCACATACGAATTCTCCAGACTGGCTTCCATACTTTTCCTTATGGAATCAGTGGAGAGAATTTGTTGACAGATCACAGCACTCTCCCCTTGGTGTTCAATTAATTAATTCTCTTGACATTTTCACTTGTTAATGTATTGATATTGTTAGGAGAAAATTGATGTTGGTCACTTTTGGGACTTGGAGGGTTGGGAAGATGATGCCTTGCATTGTATCCTCTGAACAAAATAAAAGATGTATCAAAAAGCAAAATTTCTAAAACTTAGGCACTGTCTTCACTTACTGTCAAAATCGATTTTCTCTGCAATATTTTTGGATTTGATGTGTGCATCTTGGTTACAAATAAATACTTTTCCATCCTCTTTGAGTGTCCAGTTCTGTGTTTTGATCCAGTTATCAAGTTCATCCCCTACGAAAAAAATTATGGATCATTATACATTTCTGAGAAACTGCTCACCTACCCCTCCCCTAAGTCAACATCAACACTTACTTCTCACTTAATGCAAAATGTTGGCTTAGGGAAGGGGTGGGTGGTCAGTTTCCCAGACGGGTAGAATGATCTAAAATTATTACTAGTAAGATTATTTACTGACTCGATGTTTAAGAACCTTCAACATCTACTGTTCCTTCTAGAATAATTATGTGCCAATCAAGGAACATTGTCCAAGCTGGTATTTTGTGCTTTTGTCCTGATGGTCAATGAAAAGAAAAACTGTATAATAATGATCTTACGGTCAAACTTCCAGTACCAAAATGCAAAAGAATTAAAGGTCACTTACAGGAGGTGGTTGCCTAAAACAAGAATCAAATCATAAGGGGTTTCATCCAAGAAGAGGTCCCGACACATCTACTTGTTGGAAGAGAATTTATTGCATGCAATTTCTAAGTAAAAACAGGTGTAGTTCCATGTCACTGAATATATGTTCCTTCTATACTCTGAGTGTTGGAATATGTGTATAAGAAAACAAAGAGATCACACCATGCATCACGTGTTTGCTTACAAGAGATTAAAAATAATGGAAAATTATAAAACTGTCAGAGCGAAAAGTGGTTGTGGTTGCTTACAAGAGGGGTTCATTTATGGGAGGCTTATAGGGTTTTGACTGGGAAAAGTTGGGTGTTTTGTATACTGTGTTCTCACAGGAGCTGGTTTTTGATGAGTAAACTGTAATTATTTGTACTGTTCTTTTATCATCCACTTGTCAAGCAACATGTTACATCACCCTATAAATCACATACCTTGGAGCCCTCCAAGAAGTTCAGAGATAAGGCTTTTGTCTATTGTTTGATATGTTATTCCTATGACATAGCTAACATCTGTACAAAATAAAACAGATACAGGAAACGTGGCTGTAAACATGCAATGAAAGACTCTTAATCAAACTATATGTACAAATAAAGCATTGTCCAGAAATTTGAAAGAAGAAGGAGAAAAAAATTAAGTATTTGGTAATAGACTGTGAGCAATCCCTTATTTTTCTTTTGAGTCATGGAGATGGGAGCACATTGTGAGGAGCGAGCAGCGAAGCCACGAGGAACGAGGGTGGAAGCCAATCTCTCCTCCTTTTTACCATTAATTTGCATAAATTCATTTTATTGCTCATTGCATGTGGCTCTGAGGAAAGAGGGACAATTTGGTAATAGATTAAATAACAAGGTTCCAACGCCATTATCCTGTACCATTAATTTGCAAAATTTCATTTTATCACTTGTTGCACGTGGCTCTGAGGAATGAAGGACAATTTGGTAATGGATTAAATAACAAGGTTCCATTGCCATTATCCTGTAGGGGTGAACGTTAGTCAAGGGTCAACTAAGCTTACATTTTCTTATTGCATCATGAAATCCTACAACACCCTCCACAAGAGAACTTTCTTCCTCTAGGTATTTCTGAAAAAAAAAAAATTGACATGAAAAAGTTGTAGAAAGGGTGTTGGAAAACTACACATTTAATAAGGCAGGCCCCATTGGAGAGCGAGCTATTCACCAGATAAATCTGTATCCAACAGATAGGTACAAAGAAAAACCAATTGCACTATTCAGTGGATAGCATTAACCATCTTTAAGCCAACTGGGGCCAGAAAAGTACACTATCATAATAAAAAATAAGTGAACAAAACATACATGTGAAGAACAATATAGACATAAAATAACTTTAATTTTTGATTTGAAAGGTTTTATACCTGGCTGATGACTACATTATAACACATTTATTTTAATAAAACATCAAACAAGAGCCTACCCAAGCCTCCAAAAAGTTACAGGTTTCCAACAGTTCTGCGAGTTTGATAACACTAGCTATAGCTGGATCCTGTTGCTGACGAATGTCAAGGATAGCAAGTCAATTTTTCGTTTAGTTAATGGCAGCTGAGGTGCATGTAACACACTTTTAAATTGATGTGGTAGTGGTGGATCTATGGGGGTCTGAGTCCAGGGGTCTTCACCTTTGCCCGACATTCGCACACAGTTATAAAATGAGAGTTTTTGACACCATTTCCTGAGTAGTTAAATTCATCAAAGAAGAAATAGAAGTCTTTTGAAGCTCCATCATTTACAGTGGAGTGCAATTTCATGCCTCAAGTAGCATGTACATTGTACATTATCATTGAAATGTACTAGAAAAAATAATATGGGCCAGGTAAAAAAGATTCAATAGTGGGTACAAGTCTAGACCCCTCTGTCAGATTTTCCCCAACAAACATATAGGGATACTAACTCTCAGGTGCAAAGGTGTTCCCCAAAAAGGAGTTGCCTTCTTTGTACAGACCGGTAGCTTCTTTTATTTCTTAATGGTTTGAATTGATAATAAGTAATAATGATAAAAATGATACTACTACTACTGCTACCACCACTATCACTGCTGCTACTGCTGCTGCTCTTGCTACTACTTCTGCTACTGTTCTAATAATATTATTTTAAAAAGGTATAACAGGAAGGATACATTAGCATCATCAATTAGGCATCTGCACATAATGAAGTCAGCATTTGGTAGAGTCATAAGAGCTTTCAGCAGGATCTGCATGGTGACTGTAGTTTGGTGATAAGCAGGATTGAACTGGTACCTAATATGAAAATATTATTAATTATTAGTAAGTTTGGATGCTAGTAATGAAAGAGTTTAGTTTTTAATTGGTATCTATAGCCTGTTTGGGACTGGTTTGGCCCCCGGTCAATACAACACAAGATGATAGGATGCCTTCATCTGATAGGTTTTTTGACTGCTCGTTTTTGTACTACATGTAACAGATTTTTTATTGTATAACACTGTAATCTAATGAACAGGTTCTCTAAAATTGTAGGGTGTTCATACATCAAAACGGCTTGAGGGAAGGCAATGCATTTAGAGTGAATATGGCACTTACAACACAATCGGATTAGTTAGCTTGGAGATAAGGAAAAAATTCACTGACAGCATTCACCTCTACTTGCAAGCAACAAGCAATCTCTAATGGCAAATGAGCATCAGAGGAGATGTTCCAATTTCCATGTAAATGTCAGAAAGTTAAGGTTATAGGTTTTGGGACTGCAGGAGCAGCTTTTTAAGTTAGATATTTAGTGGGCCAGGTATTCTGCAATCTAGCCAAAATCATGTTATATGGCACTTGCAATGAAATACATGTACATTGTACATAGACTTGTACTCACAATTTTAAAACAGCAAGATTTGCATCCAGGTCATAGACGTTATTATAGACCTAGAACAAAAGAGGAGGAGTAACTCAGTCGAAGAATTCAGTTTACTGTCAAGACTCATGACTCAGACTCACGTCGCCCGAAACTTACTGTCAAGTCACCAGAAAAGCAGAGTTATATATGTCGCTACAAATTTTATCCTGCTCAACAACATCCTCAAGCATTCTTATTACACATTTATTGCACTTGTTTCATCTCAATGAAGATTAGAGAACAAGATATAGTACTCATTTATCACGCTTGTTTCATTGTTCATCAAGGATTAAGAGCGAGATATAATTATTACACATTAATACCACTTTTTTCATCTCATTATCGCTTTAAAGAACGAGGTATGTTACACATTCATTCCTCTTGTTTTGTCTCATGATGGTTTTGGTTTTATTATGGTAGTTGTCTCATAGGTCAAAATTGCTTGAGAGCAACCATAACAAGATAGCTTAACCTCAGAACAAGGGTTCATAAAGGCTATAATAATTTATGGAAAATGCCTTTATTGAAGTACATGAGCTAAAATTTCTTGTTCCTACCTGAAGATGAACATAGCTTTCAAGTGTTGTCAGATTTTCCGGATTGTACCTAAAACAAAAGAAACGATTTGGTCTTAAATCAAGTAAGCAAATTTATAACTTCATGGATAGAAACAACCAGAAAATCCTCACAAAATAATTTTGCTGTAATCTTTCTATCAGTTATTTCCGACACGTGATCAAAAGACCACCACGTTTTCTTCACAATAGGTTTCTTACTACCTTCTACCTATACTAATCTATGCAGTAACAAGTTTTGAGTTGTTTTGTAAGTTAAACAGCAGCCGTCAGCTTTCATACCTGTCAATTCCCTTTAAAAGTTGAGCCACTTTTTCCCTCATTTCGTCCGCCATGTTGGATTCCCGATCACATTAACGGTTGTCACTGGGCACAAGCTTTTTCGCGCATGACGCACGTTGATGTTTGCAGGCCAGTTCGAGTTCGCAGGCGACTAACAAGCTGACCAATGCGCACACAGATTTCTTGTCAAACACAGCGGGGAGCCTAGCTGGATGATTAATTGGTAACGAGGGTCTGCTAATGTTTTACCAAGTTTTACCAGAGATGAACATGCCAGATGCCATATAATCGGAGGTAGATTTCATTCCCTACGAAAATGCGCCTCTCTATGTTAATTTCTGAAAACATGTACCGGTAGTTGATAAGGTAAGTACCCCTTGCGTAAGGCTAGTGTACATGAATAGTACTTAATTAATAGCTCTCTAATATAAAGCGTTAAGACTGCCTAGTGGTTCAAGCGAGGGTCGGCCCGAAGATGAGTCATGCCATAGAGGCACTTCGACCTTCTTACAAAACTCTTTCCGACTTATCTAAGAACATCGAACGAGAGTCCATAAATTAGTGAATTATAATAGTGGTGCTTGTGGCCTTCCTTTTTGTTACGGTCAGTAACGGTATTTAGAGCCAGTATATGGGCAAGTAAAAACCGGTAAACCAGGAGGCATCAACTCAACTTTCGCCTACGAGTCGCCTTCGCCTATGTCCTGTTTGCTGACTTCTGAAGTCGTTTCGCGTACGTGTTGGGTCAGTTCCCTAACTACTTTCGCCTTATCAGTGGCTAAGAGAACGAGGTATATACATGCGTATCGCACTTTTTTGTATCATGGTTGAGCGAACGAAGCATATACATGCGCAGCGCTCGTTTCGCTTCTCAGGGGAACGACATAAGACGGTAGCGAAACGACTCGTAGGCGAAACGACCGATCACCAGAGGCACATTTATTTATTGTTACACAGTCAGACTTTCTAAAAGTCCATTTTTTGTTCGTGGTTGGCTACACCGCCTCATAGAAGCTCGTTTCGCTCTCTTTATAGAACTTATGAGAGTTCGACTTGTAGCAAGTCTGCTACACAGTATGCTTAAGGTCACCGTTTGTCATTCGCCATAGCGGGTACTAGCCTGCGAATACCGTACGGAATACAGCCGTGTATCCTCAATCCTCTCTTACGAATTCCGAAACGTCCTTCCCGGCGAGGAGCGATGAGGGACGGCTGTACTCGCAGGTTACGAGGGTACCCCAAGAAATCACCGGTAATGAATGTGCCAGAATAGTATATCGTATATCAGTCTCTTCTGATCTTGCTACTAACGACTTGCGAACGTACGTAAAATTTTCGCGCGTAAATGAAAAAGAGGCAGTGTATGAATAGTCCAGTTCTGGCCCCTCGCTCTGTCACGCAACGCCGGGAGAGAGGTTCCTTGTGCTGAATTACGGATTCCAGAGTCCAGGATTCCGTTTTCCACAAGTAAAAATTTTTTTGAATTGGGATTCCAGAATCCGGATTCACCTTACATAGGATGATAAGCAAATGGTTGAATACTTCATCTCGCAATTTTTCAAGAGACGTACAATTCAACAAGTTGCGTCTTGTGGCCAATTTTAAACCCGTATCACGCGAAAAGAGGGACTCACCAGCAAAAAATGTAATTCTGGCAACAGGTTGCCTTCACTTGTGTCTCATGGAATTGAATGACCAAAGTAAATTTACGAAACGGGTGTAGATTAATGTGAAAAAAATTCAGGTTTTTATAAAGGTAAAGTTCATCGCAAGTATTGCGTATTTAGCGCGCGCAGATGATCAAAATAGAACCGTCGCTAGGTACCAGTATCCATTGTGACGTCAAAAAGTTTAAACGAAACCCGTTGAAAAGAAGTGTGCAGTTCGATGGGATAATGGCGTCTCTTTTACCGCGACTTAAACCACGTTTAACGCGACTAAAATAGAAATAGAAGACACGTTAGTGTAAGTACTTCGATATTATAAACTTGCTTCGGTGTAATGTTCGCTATGTTTGTGCGCAGTAGGGAAAAATAAGGTAAAAGGGGGGAGCCTGTATTCTTGAAATTTTAGCGGTTGTTCTCCCCTTTCTCAAAATCAACCTTCATTTGAAGATTGGCCAATTTATTTGCATGGCTAACACCAAAGCTGGGATTTTTTCTCAGCCTTCTAGATCGTGTTGAGGGGTAAGTTCACCAAATAAAATGGAAACCCGGGTAGATGTTCAAAGAAAAGTACGACTGAATAACTTTCGCCTCGCACATCAATTGGCCAATTTTAACTTATCTGCATTTGAGAACAAAAAGAGGATCACATAAGCAAAAAATTCCGGCTGCAAGTCACTTTTTTTATTAGTTCACGCATTTGGGTAATAATAAACTGAGAAATCAGTATCTCTTTGGAAATTAAACCAATCTACTTCATCTGCAAGGCATTGTAATTCATCTCAGGAGGTTGCGCGCGCAGAGAAAAAAATTGGAACGATCAAATTTTTGAATTGCTCATTCAACTGTGAGGATCCTTTTCACATTCATTTGAAATGAATGTGAAAATGATCCTCGCAGTTGAATGAACGACCTAAGCAATTAAAAAATAACCTGAAAAAATTCAGGCCTGACGGGGAATGGAATCCTGACCTTTGATTGGAACCGTTGTTAGGTAGATGTCTCCAGTGTGACGTAAAAAAAGTTTTCTAAATCTCGCTGAAATACGTTGATTTTTGATGCGATTATGGTACCTTGTTAAGTTGTTATGGTCTTAGCTAGTAAATCTTCGCTTCAAGACGAACGATGACGAAGTGGAACGCATGTACACTGAAAATTGAAAAGATCTGTTTCAGCCCTAAAGTGTCAATTCAGCCCTGCAGGCCAAAGTCTGATTCAGCCCTTCCTGTAGCCATTTGAGCACAATTTAGGCCGAAAAAGCTCTATCAAAAGGCTATTCCAGCCCACGGTAGGGCTCATTTCAGCCCTGGGACCAAATCAGCCCTAGCTAATTGGACTGTAGTGGCCCTGATTTAAGGCTGCCAAATTAGACTCAAAAGTAGGACTGTATTTTCCTCACCGAAACGGCCCTATTTTTAGGGCTAAAACAGATCTTTCTGATTTAGAGCGTAAGTTAAAGCATTGTAAGGTTACTTTTGGTGTAAACAGTTACGTGCAATAACATAAAGGAATACACAGTATTTTGAGAAAGTTTGTTACATGCTTTGGGTGTCGAAAATAATGAAGCAACGAAAGCAAACTGACTCCTCAGAAATGTTCAAAAAGTACTTCATGCTTGTGGAGACAGGTTATTGTTGCCGGAAATGCATTAAAAACCCGCGACTAAGAACCTGGTTTTTAAGAACCTTTAAGGCTAAAATTTGCCAGTTAGGCCCCCTCTATACAAGACCCTGTTTAGCCTAAAATTTGAAACAGGTTCTTATTTTCTTACCCTGCGAGCCGAGGCTACATTTCGCTGTGTGAGCTGGCGTGCGAAAAGTAGCCTCTGCCGACAACCGTTCAAATCCGTCCAGAAATCTGGACGAATAAATTAAAAAAACCGAGTTTTTTCCTGTTCTTGACCGGTTTAGAGCACTGCGTGAGTCTTGCGTAGCAGATCAAAGTTGTCGCATTTTTTGGTTACTTTTCGCACGCCAGGTCACACAGCGAAAATGTAGCCTCTGCTCGCAGGGTATATTTTCTAAAATATTATATTAAAAAATCTGTACACTTATGAAAATAAAGTCAACATTCAGAGTCCTCTTTGGAGACATAGGTGCACTCCAACTGCAATGTATTGCAGTAGCAGATTTTAAATAAGGAAAAACCGGAATACCACTAAATACTCTTAGCTACAATTGTATTTTTTCTTCAGAAACTAAGAACCTAATACTAATCCTTGTTACAGATACGTTCGTGCATGTGAACGAAAAATTATCGTTCTTATGGAGACAGCCCTTAACACGTAAGTATGTATGGGTTTACACAGTTAAGTGGAGTGGTTTGAACTGTTTGAACTTCGACAAAGGGCTAGCGGTCGAAGCGCCCGGTTATTAAATGTCACGTCTATACGGTGGCTCACCTGAGTTGATGTGAACTTAGCCTTATACGTCAAGTTTACCTTTGTAATTTATCGTTGTTTTAAGCCAAGATCTCTTCTTACCACACCTTGGCCATACTCATATATCCAAATCATTTTTTCTGTCTGTTTAGGATGCCGAGCATGAGCTCTGCAGAACGAGTAAAATGTCTGCAAAGCAGAGACTAACCAAAAGCGAACTGACAGCCACATAGCTTGAATAAATGACTTATAATCAGATCCGGAGCCCAGTTAACGAGTTGGTCGTTACCACTGCAGCTTTACGCATTTACGATGAAATAGCCGACGGTAAGTTAGGATATACGTTATTATTACACATTGTACTCACTATCTGCCTTCTCATTGGCTAACGGCCTACAGTTAATTTTTGAAATCAGCACAACCTTCAGATTAGTTAGTTGTCTGCTAGCAGATAGTGCTGACTGATCTAGGTTGCCTGGGCATTACATGATTTCCAAGAGCAATGTCAAACTTTGTTGCATGCGATGCTGTGTTTGTCCTTATTTCCTTCAAAACAATGTAATAATTAAACAGTTGTTAGATTCAGTTTTTGTAAATATCCAGAATAATCAAGGTCTCAGTGTGCCTTTGGCTCCGCTGATAACAGTTACCTCAACCTTGAATATTTCGGATGTTACAAAAACCTCATCCGATAATTGTTTATTGTATGAATGGCTCCTCGAGCGGGCAAGATCAAGCGAATGACTTCTTGACTCTTGAGTGGAAGGCTACTCTTGCTCGCTTGGGACCTGACGCTTTGTTCCTGCAACAAACATTTTAAATAATAAATGTGGGTAATCCTTCATTGATTAAGCTTGTTCGGTCAAGGTGACTGGATACTGGTGTAGTTCACATAGAACTTAGCCTTAAAATTATTCAGACCCAAAAGTGTCCAAAATCCTAATTCAATAGAATCCTGAATTTCAACTACTTAAATACAAAAAAACAACCTACTTTTGGGCCAAACTTGAAGAAAGAGGCGCACAT